GTAGACAATAAATAGTTGTATCAGCATATGGAGAAGGTACATATTCGTAGCCACAAAAGTCACATTTAAGAACCAAGAGTGACAGCTTGAGAGACTAAACAAATGGATTTTATTTATTTATTTATTTATTTATCTGTTTGTTTTTGGACTTTACCACTGAGCTACATTCCTAGTCTTTTTTATTTTTATTTTTTTTATTTTGAGACTGGGTCTCACTAAATTGCCTAGGCTGGTCTCAAACTTGTGATCCTCCTGCCTCAGCCTCCTTCATCACAGAGATCCCAGGCATGTGGCTCAGGCTTGACTCTTAATTTCAGTGTGTTCCATATTTCTCTCCTTGGTTCCTCAACCCCTCTCCCCAAGTCAGGAAAAGCTCTCGTTTTTGTAAGGAAGTCTGCTTATCATAGAGCCCTGCATTCTTATCCAATCTATGATTTAACAAATAAACTCTAACCTCCAGTCCTCTATATTCAACTGCAACAAACAAGCACAACAATGTAAACCTTTTCTCCCTCTAAGTGCTTGGCTATTGCAATATATGGAAATAAACAGCATGGCTTTCATTGCTATTGTCTCTGCTATATGTCTAAAAACTATTCAGAGTTGATGGATTGCTTTAGGCTATATCCACACTCCCCTGAGTGTGGCCAAAGGATAGCACAAAAATGGGAATGAAATGGGAATGAAAAACCACAATTAGTATTTCAAAATGTATTGTCTACTTGTAATTGTTAGCACATTCTATCAGTTTACATCACCAGAAAGCCAGATCCAAAAGTGCAAATGGAACATAATAACCCAAGATTCCATAGACTAAATTCATACTAGGAGAGATTTTAAAAGGAGAAGACCAGAGGATGTAAGGCAGATGCCTACGCAACACCAATACTGAAATAAGTCTAGAGACGGTCAAAGAGAATGGGGCCAGAAAAACTAAGTGTGCTTGTCATAAAGTCAAAAGAAGAAGATGTTTCCACATGAATCAGGAGTCAAATAGGAACGGAGCCAAGAATTTAAGTAAGATAAAGAGCACTGCCTATTAGATTTGATGACAAAGAAATCACCAGTAATAGACTTAATCATGAAATTTAATTGTCAAGATGTTTGAATGTAATTTTACAAGTATAATGAATTATGAGAGTTTAAGTGAGTAATAATACAATTATTTTCATAACCAGAATGAATTTCCCTGTAACATTCAGATTACGTGAGATGACATATTTCCTTTTTATTTATTTTTGAGAGTGAGTTACATGAACACAAAAAAAGTACATAATATATGTCTACAGCTTAAGAAGAATGATAAAGATGAAGACCCCACAAGCTAGGTTAAGAAATAAAACATTACTAAAACCTAGAAATTTAAAAGGCCTGCGTGCCCTTCACAATCTATGTTTCTTTGAAATCTGTGTTTTGTGAAATCATTTCCTTATTCATGCTTACATTACTACTTACGTATGCCCCCTCTAACAAAATATTATTCATTTTATTTGGATTAAAACCTTAGTAAATATAACACTGAATGTATTCTTCTGCAGCTTGCCTTTTGTATTCAATATTCTGCTTTTAAGATTCATCCATATTGATGTACAGGACTACCATTTTCACTGCTGTAGGATATCTTATCCTATGAATAATACATAATTTATTTATCCATCCTTCTACTGATAGACACTTGGTTTGCTTCCCATTATTTTGTCTCATTATTAACAATATAAGTATTAGTGTTCTTATGCATGTCTCCTAGATGGAGTCACAGGTAATCCAAACTCTCCTTCTACACATATATACATCTCCCCATTCATGTCTGATGTCCTTGTTTAGTGACATTGAGGATAACTGCAAGGAGACTATCTTAATAATGAATGGATGTTCTTTGAATTAGTATTTCATCATTATTTTGAAATATTTGATATGGAAAGATTGGCTTCGATTCAATGTCCATTAGCAGCATCACAAGAAATTTCAACATAACATTTGTCAAAGAAGAAAAGAACAGTCGGTTAGATTCTGTGTATAATGATGTCAACTGCTAATTTTTGAACAATTGTAAAAAGGGCTTTAAATTTTGCATTACTTCCTGTGTGAACAAACTTCTTGCCATTGTTGACCATTCAGAATCTCAGAATCTAAAGAGATCATTATTAAACGTCTTGAGCAGGCAGTTATTTCAAGCAAAAATTCTGATTTTACAAAATGGTATGCTCCTGGAAACAAGTTCAAGTTCCTAGTTTTTAAAAATGTAAATTATTTAATCTGAACACCTTACGAAAATTCAATACTGTCCTTAATGTCTTTGTCCTTAATGCCAGCCTCTGAGATGTCACCCTGATTCTTGCCCTCTTCCATTCACATCATTGTGTAGTTCCCTCTCTCACTGCCAAGGGCAAACTTCCGTAACTCAAAGGGTTATGGCAGAAACGACAGTGCGTGACTTCCAAAGCTAAGTCATAAGAGACACTGTGGCTTCTTTTTCTTCTCAATCACTTGGTCTGGGGGAACCAGATGTAATGTTAGGAGGACACTCTTGCCCTCTTGCATGCTGAAAACTTGAAGCATCCTGCCAAACAACTGCACTGACCAGCTAGCCACGAGAGTGAGTCATCTTGCAAGTGGCTTCTCCAAGCCCACTCAAATCTTCAAATGATGTAGCCCCTGGTGACATCTTGCCTGCAATATCATAACAGACCCTAAGCCACAACCACCCACCTAAACTGCTCCAACATTCCTGATCCATCATAAACCCTGCCAGGTGATAAATGTATATTGGTATAAGCTGCTAAATTTTGGTATCATTTGTCTCACAGCAATAGATAATTGATATATTTTTTTTTTGCTTTATGTTTCTTATCATAATTATACAATGTAAGGAAAATAACTATTTTCAATAAATCCTTCAGAGATGTCTCCCCTAAATAATCTTACAAAATGGAAAGATATCCTATGGAGGAAAACAAAAAATAAAAACAGGGATTGCAGTGTTGAGGAGCCTTCAACCTTAGACAGACATCTTCAGGAGATCTTCATGGGCTCTTTTGTCTAAATTTTTTGTATGTTGGAGCAAGGGGACAAAGGAAATGAAGGGCAAAAAAAAAAAAAAGCCACACGGGGGATGGCACAGATTTTATTTGAAGGATTTATTGAAAGTGAATGATCCCCACTTCATTCTGCATACCAAGCATCAGTGAGACTGACACATTTGGAGGCTCTAGGTCTCAAAATGATAATGATGCTCCCTATGTGCAAGGAAAAAAAAGAAACTATATAAAATTATATATGTAAGATGCCTCTGACATTTCCATTTTTTTTCCTGAAGCTTTTTTGAAGTGTCAACTATCAAATTCATTTTCAAAATAATGTTAGTGCCCCACTTTGTCCCTTTCTTCATAATTGGCCCGATTATTGTTTAATCAAGCAATGATAAAACAGTCTTTAGAGACATAAAGATTCATGTTTGAAAGTGAAGATTTTTTTATCACAGCAATGCCTGTGTCCCAGTTATTATGAAATCAATCATTTCACCTTCTAGGCAGTGGTGTTTTCCTGAGGGGCTCTTGTTAGCCAAGCTGCCTTTGATAAGTGCTATTCTGTTAATACTCCTTTGAAGCCTATTATAAACATCTACTTTACCAGAAACTCTGCAGTCCCTGGGAAGTTACGAAAATCAGAGTGGAGGGGCAGAAGGAGCTCCTTACAAATCTGCAGGCCTCGTGCTGACTCACTTGTCCATTTCTTTGGTACCCATATACCCTAATCTTCCATGCATATAAAGGRCCAAGCTCTTTATCCTGCTCATGGAGAAGAAATCAGCAGATGACAATTGCTAATGCTAAGGTTAGGAAAGACTCTTCACGCTATTTCTTTTTGGAGATAAGTTTTGCATATAGGACAGGATGAGGAGGCTCTGAACATCTTTCAGATTTACAAAAGCTTCACTACATATAAGAAGAACTGATTGGGATCCTTGCCTATGGAAATAAAGGGGATCTCAGATTATGACTACTCTTTTGGCAGATGAAGCATGTGCCTAAAACACAGGCAAAGAAAGACACTGAAAAGTAAACTTCAAAAAAAAAAAACTGATATTATGGAGCTGGAGTTGTGGCTCAGTGGTAGAACACTTGCCTATCACATGTGAGGCACTGGGTTCGATCCTCAGCACCACATAAAAATAAATAAATAAAGATATTTTTAAAAACCTGATATTAAAAGTTTCAAGCTGAGCTTCCCAACATGATAATGATTAGCCACGTTTGCCTATTTATCTTCAAATAAACTTAAAATTTCAATTCATCAGTGGCACCAATGTACTTCATGTCCCTTATGGCACACCTGTGGCTAGAACAAATATGGAGTGCTTCCGTCATTGCAGAAAATTGTATTGGACTAGTATTGTCCTAAAGTATTTAGTTATCATCGTGAGAAATAAATTTTAAAAATTCACTGAATTTCTTTACATCTACATTATGATTGGCACTGTGTTTAAGTTTTCTAGATTACATATTTAGGATACAGATAAGAGAATCATACTGTTTGCAGCGTCTGGAGACCTCTGAAGAACTGAATCTGACCTTGGCCAAAAGGATCCTTAAAATGTCCTATCATTCTATCTATATATGGGACACCGATAAAAACCTATAAAAAGCTCAATTTAAGGTTTTTAGGTTTTATAGGTTTCTTACATATAAGACGATGGGATATGAATTAACAGTATTTGTATGTTTGACCTCTTATCCATGCACCCGACCAATAAGCCATGGCTCTCCACAGTCACCCTTTAGCACCTCCAAGCCACCAAACCCGCAATTCAGCAGGGGCCTAGGCTCGTTTCCTAGCAACAGCGACGCGTCCCCGCCCATTCCCGCGGCTCCCCGCCTACCTTATTAGCCTGGAAGGGGCGGGTCTAGGAGCCCTGTGCCCAATAGGAGGGGAGCAGTGGAGGGAAGTCCTGGCCGCGTCCCCGTCGCTAGGGAAACCGATGCAGCTGGAGGCCGCGCGCGATGCCGAGCGCTGAGGAACGGGCCGCGCTCGCAGCGGAGAACGCGGACCCGGAACCCTGCGCCGACCCGAGACTGCGTCTCCTAGGGGCCTGCGTGGCTCAGAGCCTGCGGCCGGTGGCGGGAGCCTGGGAGCGCTGCTCAGGGACGGCTGAAGCGGAGCAGCTGCTCCAGGCCTTCCTGGGGCGCGATGCTGCGGAGGAGCCGCGGCCGCTGCTGGTGGTGCGGCCTGGGCCCGGGGGCCTGGTGGTGCGACCCGGGTTGGACGCGGGACCCGAGTCTGGCCCTGCCCGTGCTAAGGGGCTTTTTTTCCTGCGCACCAGACCCGAGCCTCCAGGGCCCCACAGCCTCCGCGGCGCTGTGCTCTGCGGGGACCTGCCCGCGGCGCCTCTGGAGCACCTGGCTGCGCTGTTCTCCGAGGTGAGGGTGGGTTGGTGGCCCCGCTCTGGCTGAAACTGGGGTGGGGGAGGGGGAGGAGCCGAGAGGGACGGAGGCGGGGCCATAGGGGGAGGGGCGAAGCTGCAGGGGAGGGCTAAGGGGCGGGGTCATAGGTAGAGGCGCCAGGCCAGGGCTGGAGCCCTGACCAGGAGCCCAATTCTGGAATGAGGAAGGAAAATGGGGGCTGAGGCAGAGTGGGAGAGGAAGGGCTGGAGCTGGATGGAAACTAAAATCAGGAGAAGACATGGTAGGCGTGGATGGGATGGGTGAGCTGTAAGATGGGAGCCAGAGGAAGTCTTGAGTGGAGGCCAAGCCAGAGCTGAACACGAAGGGGCTGACTTGAGTTCAGGTCCCAGTTCAAGCCAAAGTGGAGAAGAGGCCCGAGTCTGAAGAGTGCCCAAGTCCTGACCGGTTTTTAAGTCAATTTTTTAATCCCTTCTGTAAATCAGGAAGGGCTGAGGACAGGAAGTGGTGAATAAGGGGGCATTTCTAATGCACCCAAGGAATGAAAAGCAAAGTTTTTACTTTTGCATAGGAGTTTAGATGGAGGTGTCTGTTTCGATTTCCACCTCATTCATTCATCACACAGTCATTTGCCAAAAGCCATCCCTGTGCCCGCAGAAGTTTGAGCATCCTTTTGGAGATGCCCAGAAGGCATTTTGGAGGGATCTGCCTGGAATTCAGGGAGGAAGGTGGAGATGTGGATTATGCTTGGTGGCACTATACTGGAGCCCTGGAGAATGCAGGAGGGTTCATGGGAGTACTCAGGAATGATTCTTGGGCCACTTAGACCTTCTGGAATGGGAGCCAATTTCCTTGCCAGTTGGGCACGTGAGCTTCTGGAGACTAACGCTCTGGGCCTTGCCAATTGTGAAACAAGTGTTTTCAGAGAACCAGTTAGATGTGATGGGAATACCAAATAATAGAAGACAAGTTCCCATCCGTGAAATGCTTAAAAAGCCAAAACATGTAATTAATCATGTATTCCAAATATTTAAAACTGTTTTGATTGGGGTGAGGGTAGAGCTTCCCTAAAAGTTGTCCCAAACACTATCTCCACATAAGTCCAAGCTTGGGTCAAGTCCCCTAATGAATAAAGTTAGAAAGTGTCCTCGGGTTCAGAAAAGAGAGGTATGCATATTCTGAGAAGCACTCTTGGCCTTAAGTGTTGAACTGGCTCCTGAACAAGGAGAAGGATCAGGGTAAGTAAGGATCAAGGTAACTTTCAAGGTATGAGGACAGTTGAACAAAGATTCAGAGACAGGACAAACTAGTGCATATGGGGGACAATGTGCCCATCTCAGAGCTGTGTTGTGGCTAAGGAAATACAGTCCAGTAAGCAAAAGTAATTTTAAAATAATTCAAATCCTCACATATTCAAGATTTTTTTCTTGGTGCATTGAAAAGGATTGGAGACAAATTGAATATTCTTCATTTGGAAGCTGGGTGAATGAATTATAGTCCATTTATACAGTGAAATATGTTGGAGCTGTTAAAAAGAATGATTTGATATATAACACCCCCTTAAGGTAATGCTTTTAATTTTGGTGTAAAACCCACATAACAGAATTCATTCTCCTAACAATTTCCAAGTATACAGTACAATATGGTCAAGCATATAGAGCAGATCCCCGGATTCTCCCATCTAGCATGACTGAAACCCTTCATGTACCAAACAATTCCAGCATCCCCTTTCTCCTGCTCTTGGCAAACACCATTGTACTGCCTGTCTCTATGAATTTGGCTACTCTAGGCACCTAAGTGGAATTGTGTAGTATTTGTCCCTTTGTAACTGGTTTCTTTCACTCAGGCTAATGCCTTCAAGGTTCATCTCTGTTATCACATATGGCAGGAATTTCTGGGTTTTTTTTCAAGCTGAATAATATTCTGTTGTATGTATATACCACATTTTATTCATTTATTCATTCCTCTGGGATACCTAGTTCACTTTCATCTCAACTATTCTGAGTAATGCTRCAACATAAGATAACTGTTTAAACAGGTTCGGAATTACATGTATAGTATGCCACCATTTATGTTAAAAAGAGGAGTGAAAATTCTAGAAAGGGTATAAGAGAGAGAGGGGGAGGGGGAAAGGAAGGGAGGAAAGGGGGAGGGAAGGAGGGAGGACCCTCTTTAATAAAGTGATCCATAGTCTAGGGGATCTGAGTGGTTGAAGTACAAGAGTAGGTAGAAGCTATATTTTTCACTTTAAAAGCTTTTGTATCTTTTAAAATTTGCACGATGTGAATGTATTATCTATTTAAAATTTAAAATAAAGTAATTCATTTTTAAAATCACTCAGGTCCTTTACTTGCATTTTTCAAAAGCTAAGATAGGCATCCTCAGTTCATTCAACCCTCTGTCTTCCCTTCCACCTCTGTTATATAACCTGTAGCTGATCCAGTGTCATTGGAAAGTGTTGCTTACCCCTCCCATCCGCTGAGACCCTCCCCTTCTCCCTGCCTGGTGGCCCTCCAGTCCACTTGCTCTCCTCTGTCTCAACCACTAAAGCCAAAGAACCCACCTGTCTGAGAGAAGTCTCCCTGCCGTGTGCGTGCGTGTGTGTGTGTGTGTGTGTGTGTGTGTGTATGTGTGTGTTGGTGGTTAAGGGAGGCGTTGACAAGAACAACAAGCTATAATTTCAGCATTATTTTCATCCCATTACACAGGTATGAAATAAAAAGGAAAACGCATCTCAGAACCATTTGAAGGAGCAATTAACAGAATTTAGTAACTAGTTTTCCTAATTCTTCTCTCCCTCCTGCCAACCACTTGATGCCCGGCTGCCAGGTTATTTTTTCTATTTTTCTGAGACATGGCTGCCTCTTTGAATTTCTGTGTTTTGGGGAGTGAGTGAGGAATTTGAAGTCTGACGGGCCGGTGTTCAAACCCTAGTTCTGTCCCAGTCAGCTCTAGGATGTGAGTGTAGGAACCCAGCCATCAGACCTACACTGTCTCATAGAGTTGTCTTGGTCTTAATATCCTAGGACACCCGAAACAGAGTGCGTCACACATAGGTGTTCTGTAAAGGACGAGAATCACTGCCACTCTGTGTCCCATTCACAATCCTCCTCAAATCCTTGTTACCTTGCTGTGGCCCAGATAGGCTCTCCCCAGAGAGTTCAGCTGAGTTTCCCCCCAGGGTCCTTCTTCCTGTGAGCCTGGAGGTAGAATGGCTTCTCCATTCAGGTTGATAAACCTCCAGTTTGGATTTCTTAACATCAGGGTCACCCATTTTGACCTCATATCCTGGGTTAATGACACTGTCCTCATTTCTCCATGACTTTGACTCCTGGATCATGTGACTCTCCCCAACACTGCTGCTCTAAATGTGATTATTTCCATAGACATATAAAGGATCCTCCCAATAACTTGGCCTCTGTGGCTTCCTAGTTCCTTTCTCCTCCTGTGATCCTGCCCTTTCTAGCTTCAGTGCCCCTCCCCTGGCCATTCTCAGGCCCCGTATTACCAATAATCACCACTGTCAGGATCCAATTCCATGGGCCTCTTTCTCTGGCCATTATCCCTACCTTTCCCCTTTTCATGCTCTGGCTACAAACAACCCCTGATCTTGCCAGGACCTCTAATGCACAGGCCCTGAAGCCTTCCCACTATCCCGTGTTCACACCTGCACCATGAAAGCTGAGTGGGGCTAGGGAAAACCAAGTGGCTCCACTTGACATTCTTGACCTTGAACCCCTAGTAGGCCTTTCTGCTTCCCAGAGGAAGACCTCCTATTTGTTTTTCTATTCCAGCTATTTCCTTACTCTTATGAATCACTATTTCATAGCTTTCTTTTATCTACCTTCCAACAGCCTGAAGCTCCTCTTTTAATCTCCCTCTATGATGCTCTTGACTCTTTCTTTAACAAACAAGGAAAATGCCCATGCTCGTACCCTCTGCTTCCCTTTTGGTTGCTACAGGCAGACTTTGATGCCAACCCTAAGATTAAAACGGTCATTTTTTTGCCCTGAATCCTACTCTCATAATTCCCTCCCACCCTTCCATTCTTATTTTTCCCCTTTCTACAAGTTACTCTTCATCAAACAAAGATCCCATTTCCCTCATCATCTGCCACTCTATTTCTATCATTCCCTTTACAGCCAGACTTTTGGAATGTGTGTCTCTTCCTGCTGTGTCCCTATCTTTTCCTGTTTTGTCACATACTCATCAGACTTTTACTCCCATACTTCCCAGAGGAGGAATAAAAGACCTTGACAATGTTTCCAGTGATCTCCACTTAGCCAATTCGCAAGGCCATTCATGAGTCCTCACCCTGCTTGACTGGTGAGCAGCATTTATCACCGCTCACGATTCATCTCTTCTCCCAAAAGCACTTTCTTCATTTGCCTTCCAGGACACCAATCTTCAGATTTGTGACTATCACCATGACTACATGACTATTCCTTCTCAGTTTCCTCTGATGGCTGCCTCTCTTTGTTTCCTCCTCCTCCTCTTCTTCTCCTCTTCCATTTCTTCCTCCTCCTCCTCCTCCTCCTCCTCCTCCTTCCTCTTCTTATTTGCAATTACTATTTTTTAATTTTTTTTTTCATTTTTATTGGTGCGTTATAAATATATACAGTGGTGGAATTAGTTGTTATATATTTGTACATGCACACAACACAACAATATAATTTGCTCTATTTCATTYCCCAGTATATCCCCTTTCCCTCTCCTCTTCCCTCCCACAGCTCCCCTCTCTCTACTGGTCTCCCTTCCATTTTCAAGATAACTTACCAACTAGCCCCATTTTTTTTTCCTCTAGCTTCCACAGATGAGATAAAATATATGACAACTTTTTGAGTTTGACATAAGTATGTCAAAATGCTCTCAAGTTCCACCCATTTTCCTGCAAATGATATATCATTCTTTAGATAGATCATTAAGTATATATATATATATATATATATATATATATATATAATTTGGCTACTGTGAATTGTGCTGCTATAAAAAATGGATATGCTTGTATCACTATAGTAGGATGACTTTAATTTTTTAGAATAAATACCAAGGAGTGGTATAGTGGGTCAAATTGTGGATCCCATTCTAGTCTTTAGAGGGACCTCTGTACTGATTTCCATAGTGGTTGTACTACCATTTACATTCTTCCCAACTTCTTAACATTGAGGACTTTGGGGCTCATTCCTTATACATTCTCTGTCTCTCTGTCTCTGTCTCTCTTGATATTCTTTATTTATATGTGTATTTATATATATTATATATATTTATATATGTATATGTGTATGTATGTATATATATATGTGTGTGTGTGTGTGCATATACACCCCTTTAGTTGCTACGCACACACGTGTACACACATATGCACGTGTGTGTCTTCTTTTCCCTAGGGAGTCTTGATTTCAAATTTTTATAAGCCATCTGTGTGTGACAGCACCCGGGTTTGTTATCATCAGCCTTTTCTTCCCCTCTGAGCCCCCACCAGCATTTCCTATTGCCTATCAAACATCAAGTCCTTGAAGTCTGGTGAAAACCTCAAATTCCATCATGTCCCAGTGCACCCTCCTGATCCTCTCTCAAGAACTCGACCCTGACTCTTCCTCCCATCCRTTCTTGGCAACCCCATTCTGCCCTTTGCTCAAGCCCCAAATCTTGGAGCCATGCGGCTGCTCTTTGTCCCTCACATCCCCCAAACCAGTTCATAAGACGTCACATTGGCTCTACCTTCAACATGAGTATAGAATCAGATCATTTCTGATGCACCTGGCTACTGCCCCCGGCCAAGCCACCATCTACTGTACTATAGTCCTAACTTCTTCACTGACCTCCTTTGTCTCTTTTACTTCCTAGGGTCCAATCTCGTCACAGTAGTAGAGTGATATACTACTAAWAGGTGTCAGATTATGTCACCCCTTTGTTCAAAGCCTGTCAGAGATGTTCATTTCTCTGAAAGTTAAAAAAAATTAAATAAAAATTCTACAGGCAAGGCTATATGTGGTTTGTTCCCCTTTATTACTCCTATTCTTGCTTTCCTGTCCCAGTTTCTCTGGTTTCCACACTTTTCCTTGATTCTATCAGGAATATTCCCACCTCAGGGCTTTTGCACTGCCTATACCTTCTACCTGCCATGTACTTCCCCCAAGGATCTGCAGAGCACTCTCCCTTAGCCCTACCTTTATTGAATGTTATCTTCTGAGGCCTGCACTGACTTCAGTGATTTTAATGACATCTCCTCCACTTCAGACTTTTCATCTACCTCCCAGGTTTTATCTTTAGTCACAGAGCACATTGCTTATGGACTTTCTCTTCCCTGGAACATGAACTTCATGAGGTCAGGAACATTCATCTATTTTGTTCAGTGATGCATCCTTGTAGCACATAGTAAATGCATTAGCACATAGATGCATCCTCCTAGCACCTAGAACAGAACTAGCACATAGTAAATGAATGAATGAGTAGATTTCCATTTCATAGACAGTTCACATTTATTATTTTCCTATCACTCTGAGCTCTCCAAAATCCAACCCAAGATAGGCGTGGTGACGCCCACCTATAATCCCTGTGGCTAGGGAGGCTGAGGCAGGAAGATCGTGAGTTCAGAGTCAGTAAAAGCAAGGTGCTAAGCAACTCAGTGAGACCCCATCTCTAAATAAAAAGCACAGAATAGGGCTGGGGATGTGGCTCAGTGGTTGAGTGCCCCTTCGTTCAATCCCTAGTACCCCTCCCCACCAAAAATCCAACCCAAKTCTAAATTCATAAAGCTGTATGTGATGCTCCCTAAATGCCAGACCCTAGGAAGAACTGTGGATATATAAGATTCATTTGAGATATAGTCCCTGCGTTTGAGATCCTAGAAAAAAATTCAGTTCATCTTCTTTCCTTCTTAGACTGTCTGTCCTGGGTCCAAATGGTCTTTTCTCAGCATCAGTGTCATAGATCTTAGTGTACAACTTTATATTTTTGCTTTCTGTTGTCTCAGTGCACCTGTCATGCGTCCTCATCTCAATGAATGTTTCTAGAAAGACCAGGCAGGAACCACCATCATCTGGAATGTAACATGCTGGCTCTATCTGTTCTGTTTGGCAGCTCCCAGGACTTACTGGTTGCATGCAGAACCAAACCATGCACCTGCATCCTACTTCCTTTTCATCCTTACTCCTGCCCATCACGTTGCCTGTCTTTCTAGCCTTTCCTTTCCACTCCCTGGGAGATTTTTACAGGCTAGAGCTTCCTCGTGCGTTTAATTGACAACTCTCTAAGTTGCTAGAGATAGAAACTCAATTTAAGTTCAGAAACTTCAGAAGCAGCTTGATTCTGGAATTCGAAACCATCCTCAGGATGTAGTTTCTCTCCATCTATAAATTCCCTCTGCTTTTTATTGGCTTCRTCCCAAAACTCCCAGGGGTAACAAGATGACCACCCAAAGCTCCAGACTAGGAGAAAAGAGAAGGTGTCTCTTCCTTGAAAAGTTGAAATAAGACTTTGACCTACTCTCCCTGCCTCAGAGTGGGTTCCAAATCCACCTCTAGATTTAGAGACTGGTATTAAAAGAAGAGGAATTCTGTTGGGTGGCTAAAATTAGCTAATGTTCACCCTAAGATGGATTCAAGATGCTCAACTTTGCTTACTTTTTAAAAGTCCCCCTGGTACCCCRCTGTAAATAGATGGCCGTTTTTACCTACATTAGTCCTTTAATTTAATTTAATCAATCTTATTTATTTATTTATTTATTTTGCTTCTGATCTTTAGAATTATTTCATTCAGCTTCTATTCACCATGTTGACAAGGAAGGGATTCCTGCCCCAGGATAATAGTGATGGGCAAACCCCAAACACYCCAGCTGGGTGCAGTGGTACACACTTGTAATCCCAGCTACTCAGGCTCAGAGGCAGGAGGATCACAAGTTCCAGGCTAGCCAGGGTAACTTAGCAAGACCCGGCATCAAAAAAAATATWTTTTTTTCTTTAATGGTTGGATTGTAGGTCAGTGGTAGAGCATCTCTGGTCTAATTCCCAGTACAAAAAAAAAAAAAAAAAAAACACCCACGATAGCATAATGACATGGGCAGCAGTTTATTAGTCACATATACTCACAGTCTAGAGGAGGGGGAGAACACTGTACCAGGCAGAGCTGCGGAGCTGCATGGGGGGTTCACTTGGGAACASAGTGAACAACCAGGGGCTGTGGGAGGAACACTTAGTAGTATCCAGGAGAAGTGGTGTCCCCTGGTTCCTGTGGGAGGATGTGATGGGCTGCTTTGAATAGTTCCCCCCGCTGGCAGGGACCTGAAGCCTGCAACTCAGGGATGGATAGGCACTGTGCCTGGTCCTCTTCATCCAGGTTGTTTARCTCCAGGGTCTTACCTGCGGGAGCAGGATGGGGAAGAAAACTTGTGGGTAGGCAATTTGAGGTCCTCCTGATTTTACCAGATGTCAAAGCCCCACAAAATTCTGGACTTTAGAATTAGGCCTTCCRGCACAGTGACCTGCCAAAGGTTGAATATAGCTTTGTGGACCTGTTCAGAATAGTCTTTTAAAGCCTCAGAAATGGAAGGCCTGCCTTTCTTCCCTGCGTCCCTCTGTTACAGGTTGTCATTCCTGTCCTGGCCAATGAGAAGAACCACYTGGACTGGCCCCACATGGTATGTCAAGATGTCCGGCAGCACGCCCACACCCTCCAGTGGGACCTCCTGGTCATCCTTGAGCAAGTCAAGGGGAAAACTTTGCTGCCTCTTCCGGTGGGCTCCGAAAAACTGAAGTTTGTGGATTCAGGAAGTGAGACCGAGTAAGTCTCTCCAGCCAGGCCACATGGGCCTCTGAGACCTGGGGGAAGCTGGTTTCGCTGAAGGGTTTCTTTGAATGACTTTTTGGTTCCTAACTCTGCACATCTCCTTCTGCACTTAAGTGCACCCTGCTCCCTTTGGCAACATCCTCAGATTCCCTGTTTGTGCTGATTACTTCCTTTGCCTCCATCCCTCGGCCTGAGATCTTTTAAAGCTATAGCAACATTGCCTTCTTTCCATTTAGAATCATTTGGGGGTTCAGAGTAGCCACACTGATTTCAGTACTGTCCTTATCAGGAAAGCAGCTTCTCGTGGGTGCAGACCCAGGTCCAGTCGGGGAGGCCGTCCCCTGCTCCCTGTTTGCCCAGCCCCTGATATCACAGAACCAACGGTGGCAGCTCTTGTTACTGTCCCAGCCTCTCGCCCCACAGCAGCTGCAGGCATTTTTCAGGTTCTGGGGAATTCATTTTATGTTTATTTTATTTTTCTCTTTCAAATAGGAGCAAATCTGGCTAAGCTGGGGAGTCCATACCTCCTGTCCCTAAGGGGGGCATTCAAACCCTAGCCTCTTCTCCTTTGATAAGTCATGTCCACCATCAGCTTCCATCTGTCATTCCAGCTTAGACTTGTCTTCATTTCTGTCCCCTGGTTATTAGTTTTTTCTTTCCAGACAGGCTCTGTATATAAATAATATATTATGTTATATTTTATCCATCATTTCTATGTGTTTGTGACAACAGGTGGCCTTTCTGCTGGAACCTGGTCTGTCATATTGCCAGGAGTTTCTGGATACCTTACTATATACATTGTGTATTCAGGAGCCAGGAGACATCTGAGGGATAAGTAACAAGTGTCACAGCAATACACTTCCTCACAAGGGTTTTCTTTTTTTCTTCTTTTTCTATTGGAAGTAATTTGCTACATATATAATTTGAAGTAATTTCCCTGTTAACTAGAAAACTTATTGTGGCTTAATAAAAATATCCAATTTTGAAAATAAGTAAAATTTAAACTACCTTTTTCTGGTCCCTTTACACTCTAACTTAATAACATTCAGCATATATATATGTAATTCTTGCTGAGTTTGACTCCTTTATTCAAATTGGATAATTTCCCAAAAGGCCAGATCATTTTGGGGGAAGTGAGTAACTTCTCCCTTTAACGGCTTTCATAACCACTGGGCTGTATCGTTTCTCAACAAATATGAATTTAATTAAATTAATTGAAGGTGGGTATTTTTTTTACCTGAAAATATGAACAAAATATGCTCCCTTTGTTACTGTGTCCTTGATGTTTGGTATTTTCGGTTAGGACTTTACAAAAAGATAGCCAGAATGTAGTTTTTAAAACAATTTTACTATGAAYTGAAATGCATTTTGCTGTCGTATATAACAAGTTAGAGCAAATAAATAAATTTWAAAAAACAATTTTAATTCCTTCCAAACACAACGAAATTATTTAAAACAAAACAAAAAAAGATGTATGGGTGGGAAAGTTGGAAATCCCATTCTTTGGGGGAATGGAGATAAAGTCAGGTCATGATGGTGGTATTCACAGAGCTGATGGTTTGCCTGGCAAAGGAGGGGTCACCTGTTTTCTCTTGCTGCAGACATTAGAATTCAGAGCAGACTGAGGATGTAGGAGGGAGGTACATTTTGTGCAGTGTGGAGACAACGTTTCTCCCTGGGGAAAAAAAAAAATGGGATGCTTAGTTAAGTTGGGAGTTTGCCATCACTAGTGAGATTCAAACAAGAGCTGGGTGGTCATCTAAATGTTTCCTGTCCAGAGTATTCCTCCATTGACAGGTAGTCTTAATGGCATTCAGAATTCTTAAGCTAATCTTCAGAATAGTTAGTGAGCCCCTGAATCTGTATAGATAATGTTGGATGTATATGCAAATAAGCATGATTTCTTGAGAAGGAATCTGTACATTTCATTGACTACTCAAGAGGATCTGTTACAAAAAAAAAAAAAAAAGATTTAACAATGTGCAGGTTAGGTGGAGTTTCGCAGGTTAGGGGGAGTTTCCCACCTGTTTTTAAAAGATTTGGGGTTCTCTTCTGGAGGACACCAGTATAATGATTTGAATATGGTATGAGTTTTTTTTCTCCAAAAGGCTCATGTGTTAGAAGTTTGATCCTCARTGTGGAGCTGTTGGAGTTGTTGGTACCTTTAAGGGACAGAGCTTCATGCAAGATAGTTAGGTCATCAGGGTCATCGCATTGCCYTCAGAGGGGACTAACATAGATCCTGTGGAAGCCCAGTTAGTTCCTTCCAGATGGATTGTGATAAAAAAGCAAGACTGGCCCCTGCTGTCGGGCTTTGGGCTTCCTGTCTTGCTTTGTGATTCCTCTTCACACACACCCCTACCCTAATACCATCAGGCAAGAGGCCCTCGCCAGATGCCAAATTTGGGATGCTTATACTTTCAGCCTCTGAAATCATGAGCTAACTCAACCTCTTTTCTTTGTAAGTTATCCAGTCTCAAGAATTTCGATATAACTATGAAAAACAGACTAATACACCAGGCTTAAGTTATTTCCCCACATTCCAGGAAAACTCCTCTTGTCTCTCACAGCTTGGACGCCATCGATAAGTCAGTCATCTATGCCATTGAGTCTGCAGTGATCAAGTGGAGCCACCAAGTCCAGGTGGTACTCAAGAGAGAGTCTTCTCAACCACTCTTCCAAGGGGAGAATCCCACCCCAAAGGTGGAGTTGGAATTCTGGAAGAGAAGGTAAACAGTGAGGCACAGGCCTGAATTTTGGGAGCAGGGAAGATATTTTACAGAAGACAAAGTGAAAGGTGGCCTGGTGGGGGGCGGTCACCACTGAGTCTGGTCCTTTCCTCTAAATGCTTCTCCTCCTCACTGGGGCAGACAGCTCAACCTCATAGGTCAAGTAGTTTTTCTGTGTATTGGAAGAGGGACTCTTTCCACGAGATTCCATAGTCATCCTTCCTATCTTGAGTCCAACTTCTGGCATGCCATCAAAGACTMTTTCTACTACATGTAAAATTAATCAGCTTTTGTATTATTATCTTGTTCATTTCTACTCTCTTCTCCTTGGGCAGTTCAGGCTGGGTGCGTTTACCTTTTGTAAAGATATGAAAGAGGGAAAGGGTTTTGAAAGATGGTTGCAAAATAACCTGTCCTAGGTCTCCGCTCATGATTAGCAGGGCTAGAAAGTCCATCATCCATTATGTGTCACCTGCCCTGGGTGAACAGAAATACCTCATTATGGCTCCCACTCCTGCTTATTTTCTCTCTCGCTCCTCATTTTCTTGCTCCTCTTTATCATTGTGCTGATAAATCCTTTACTCAAAAGGAGACAGACAGATGTTGGAGGCAGATGTTGCYGCCCTCACATTGGAGAGTGTCCATATCCCATGACCAGGCTTGCCTGTAGGGCTCCAGCCCTGTTTGAACCACCATGCTGAGATGCTCCATCTTCTTGCCCAGTTTCCGGCCATTTGCTGACCCCCAGCAAGGCCCTCCTCCAGCAGCCTTGCTCCGGCAACACTTCTCTCACCCTGCCCCAGCCTTACTGCTAGAGCTAATGACCTCCAGCTGCGGGGCTTTGAACCACCAGATGGTCACAGCAGTGTTTCCCGGAGCTGCCCCCACTTTGAACCTGTGTTCCCAAATCAGGCTTTTGCCCTCATTGTTCTGGAACAGATGTCCAAGCTCCGTGGGCTGGAGCACCCTGAGGCTGGGGTCCTCTCTGCCCGTGTGCAGATGGGTCACCACAGTGTGACTTGCATTCCATGATTCTCACCGGGATTCACCCTTCTCTGTGGTATTGCAGGTATGAGGATCTGGAATACATTCATAATCAGCTGCGAACCATTCAGGTGAGGGGCATGGCTGGGCTCCTGGATAAGCTTCATAGCAGCTATTTACCAGCTTTCAAAGCCATGTTCAGAGACGTCGTCGCAGGTGAGGRCCAGCAAATGCTCTCACAAATATACCGACTCAAATTTCCTATTTAGCAATGCATGCACTGCTCTCTAACATCAGCATCTTCAAGCCCTTATAGGGTTCCAACCTGGCACATATAACTAGTAGCCAGGATACCAAATCTGGAAACAGAGGAGCAGCCATACAGAATTGCACTCTTTTTGCAGTTCAATAACTTTGTGACCCTGGGAACAATCAGCCAACATCTCTGAGCATCAGTATGTAGCTTGGTTATAGGACACACTCTTCCTACCTATTGTACCTCTCTGAGCCCTTGTGAGATAATCGAGGTGGAAGGGCTTTGTCGACCCCACCACATTACACAGATACGTTTTGTGTTGTTATCTCTCATCTCTGGAAGTCGGGCTCCTCCACCCTTGACTCCTTGAGAAATCTCTGTTGTGTTTCTAGCTCTGTTCTGCATTTTCTGTTCCTATGGTCATATGGGACAGCAATTTCCTGTCCCTTTGAACATCAGACAAGATCGGCCCTTGTCAGTATTGCAAAGCTGGTAAAGTCTATGATTAGAGGCAGGTAATTTTTTTTTTCCATTGGCGTACTTTGATCCCCCTCACTCTTTTTCTATCAAACCTCCTCCTTGCTCTACAGTACTATAGGTCAAAATCTACATTTAAAGTTTTTTGCAGTTTCATACAAAATTTCAGCTTAGTCTAAGCAGTGATTTTTTTCAAATATTTTTTCTCTCTCAGAACTTTCTCTAAATACAATCTCCAAGGTTATGGGATATAGTGATAGAGTGCTTTCCTATCACACACAAGGCCTTGGGTTTGTTCTCCATTGAAAAAAATAAATAATAATAATAATAATAATAATAATAATAATAAAATTAATTATCTCTCCCATGTAAGTCCAGAATAGAACACTAGCAAGGTCTTTTTGCTTTGTTAAAGAGGGCAGTGTCCTGTGTCCAGAGCCCATTATATAATCTCTCAATCCATCTTCTCCTAGTGGCATGGGGTATGGAAACCACTTAGCTAAAAGGACTAAAAGTTATTGAGGGTGTTTCTGACATGAGCTATATGACAAAGAAGACCTGAAATAAGAAGTTGGTTTTTGAGGTCATCCTGGGCCCTTTATGTGCTCTGCTAATATGTAAAGCTAGCTTGGAACAAGATGTCTCTTGAGGTCTCAGTTTACTGCTTCACTGAGACTTGCTGTGTCTCAGAGGAATCCATTCTTGTTCCCAGGCTATGTTTCATTTCAAATATTCAGGCATGCATGCCTCAAAGCATAATGCCTACCACTATTGATATGAGAGATGGTGAGAGGTGTGTGGACAGGTAGTTGGTAAAATGTCTCAAATGGTCACTCTGTTTTTGGCAAAGTATGCTGATTTTCAATTTTGGGTGGTGATTTAAAGTTTCCATTTTATATACAGTCAGCCCTCCATATGTGTGGGTTCTGCACCCATGAATTCAACCAACCAGGGATTAAAAATAATTTTTAAACTTATGTCTGCACAGGATACATGCAGGTCTTTYATCTTGTCATTATTCTCCAAATAACACAGTGTAACAACTATTTTCATAGAATTTACATTGACATAGTTTATAAAATGACGGATGGAGGTTATATGCAAACATTATGATGTTTAATATAAAGAATTTGAGCATCCTAAGATTTTGGTATCTACAGGGGTCCCTGAACCCAATCCCCCATGGATATGGAGGATATAACTATGATTTTATTTAGGCTAAAATGGAAGCAAATTTAGTGGAAAAATATGAAGGGAGCTATATTAACAGGTTGAAACAGCTACAACACAAATAAATGGGCAAAAGCCTAAGATTTGGGACTCTGAAATGAAATAACACGTAATAAAAGTATGTTATAAATTGGTTCTTTAGTACCCCAAATATACCTGTGTGGATTTAATAAACTATTTACTCACATAGATTAATAGGTGCAAAAGACTCATTTCCCGAGGCCAACTTTAGAAAATTCTTTTCAGAAGAATATATACTGACAATGTAATTAGGAAAAAAAATGCCATTATAATAGTACAAAATAAACACTACTATAATGGTAGGAATCCTTTAGAAGTGTAATTCAATTCCAATGAGGGAAGAAGAGAAAATTTGATTAGAGGTGTTAGGCAGAGACTCGGTCAGAAATTTTGGCAGGGTCTACAAGAATAAAAAGATTTTAAAGGCTGTTGATTGATTTTATCATTTCCAATTTAATTTCAGAGCATCTGGCTTCCTTTATGCTGAACAGTTATACTATGTGCATTATTCTTACTAGTCACGATCAGGGTAGTTCATTGGTTCAGGGATGGACTAGAGGGAGAGGAAAAGAAGTATTTCTGGATTATAAGCATGAATTGGAGAGCAGTGAGAAATAAAGAAGGGGGCTGAATGGGTGGAAGAAATGGGTGGAAATAGGATTGTCAGAGTGGAATTGATTGAATGATGAAAAAAACCTTAGAAAAGAAGAAGTAAAGTTTCCTTGGGGAGGAAAAACAGGGCAATAAAGATTGATTAGGGAGTTGTCTCCCCGGTTCCTAGGAGAGCACGTTTGGCCCAGTTGTCTTGGCCAGTTGTCTTACAGTTGTGCTTCTGCAACAGGCGACCAAAGACCAGATAGTTTATAAAGAACAGACATTTATTTCTCACTATTTTGGAGGCTGGGAAGACCAGAATCAAGGAACCGGAAGGTTCAGTTTTCTGGTAAGGGCTACCCTCTGCTTCCAAGATGGCATCTTCTTGGTGCATCCTCTGGGGATCWGGGAGAAGAGCGCTGTGTCATCACATGGTGGAAGGTAGAAGGGCAAACTAGTAGAACACTCTCTGAGTGTTTGAGAAGAACCTGCATCCCATTCCCAAGGGAGGTGCCCTGGTGGCCTAAGCACCTCTCAGAGCCTCATCTACTTAGTACCATCATAATCAACATTAAGTTTCAACACCTGAGTTTGGGAGGGGACACATTTGAATGCTAGCCTCAGTCATGAATGATGGAAGGTGTGTGTACRTGGGGAAGAAGTTCAAGTCCAGTGCTGCTCTGGAGGCAGCTTGGGCTGGCCCACAGTGGCTCCATTGCATCTGTTTTTAACTTTCCCACCCGCCAAGCAGCACTCAGTGAATTCAAAAATTGGTGACTTGAAATCAGACATGATGATAATATGGGGAATATCTGCACCACAGGAACTAGCAAATGTTACACATAAAGACATTTGTCACTGAAGAGACCATTGTTAAAGATTTACCAGCAAACCACTGGACATCACTGTGCAATTGGCTATTTGTATTTGCAGTCATCCCTCAATATTCAAGGGTTCCACTCCTGTGGATTCAACTACTTGAGGATTGAAAATATTTTAAAAAATCAAAAACATAACAATATAACCATAAAAACAATACAAATTTTATAACAGTGGGGCTGGGAGTATAGTTCAGTGGTAAGAGTACATGCTTTCCACATTCAAGAAAGTCATGGATTTCATCCCCAATCCCACACACAAACACTCACTCTCTCTCTCTCTCTCTCTCTCTCTCTCTCTCTGTCTCTCTCTCTCTCCCACATACACACACACACACACACACACAATGCAGTAGAACAACTATTTCCAATAGCATTTACATTGTATTAGGCATCATCAGCCATCCGGAGATGATTTAAAGTATACAGTAGGATGTGTGTAAGTAATATGCAAATACCATGCCATTTTTATATAGGGGACTTGCACAAAGGACTTGAGAGCATCCTTGGATTTTGGTATCCATGGGGGGACCTGGTACCAATCTCAAATGTATATATTTTTAAAAGGTGTAGCCTAGCTCTGTCTGTTGCTATGTCTTTGGAAGACAAGGTGATTGCACCTGGCTTGGACTAGAGTGCTCTTTGTGTCTTCTCAGTGGAATGCCTATTTGTGTGAGTAGTGGAGATTTTGGCTCCTTTAAAGRCCTTAAAACACAGAGTATCAGAGAGAGAATGAGCCAGTAGTACGATGGTCCCAGCCTCTTCTTCCTCATATCACATAGAATAGGTGCTCATTGGAATGGCTGTTGGATTCTCAAATCTCCTGCCCAGCTCAGTGGTTCTGATGCTCACCATCAGCCCCCAACTCTAACCAATTTACCAATTTCGCATGATATTTGACTTCCATCCGCATGCTGCATCCCATCAACCCATATGGGATGTAAGGTACAAACATGCGTGTCAACATACTCCTATGTCCAGTGAGCCTCAGAACCATCAAGCCAGGAGTTCAAGGTAACTAACTTGATGTAATCTTTTTGCTCAGCTGGACAGGACTGTTCAATCCACAGAATGAGCCTAGGCAAGTCTTAATATATTCACTTTAAAAGCCAGCAGGGCTCTCTATAAGATGTGTATGTCTAGTGGCTCGGGAGGCTGAGACAGGAGGATCACAAGTTCAAAGCCAGCCTCAGCAAAAAGTGAGGCACTAAGCAACTCAGTGAGACCCTGTCTCTAAATAAAATACAAAATAGGGCTGCGGACGTGGCTCAGCGGTCGAGTGCTCCTGAGTTCAATCCCCAGTACCAAAAAATAAAATTAAATTAAAAAGATGTGTATGTCTGCTAGATAGAACAATTCCTGGAATATTGTGATCTGTTTGCTAAATAGTTGTTTCTTTTAGGATGAATGCAAACACCACCTCCACAAAATATAACCTGAAACCATCTGTTCTATGATACTGCCTGATTACCCACCTGGGAAAGAACCACTTTGCAGATGCTAGTTTCCAGTTCAGTTTGCTCAGTGGGCTTTCATTCCACTTAGTTGCTCTGCAGGTGTTAGTGCCCAGTGCTTTCTTTCTATGTTACCCCAAGATGACTGAATGTATCCCTTATCTTTCCTTGACTGTATTCAAAGGCTGATAGGAGATTTCCAGGCATAAAAAATCATTACAACTTTGCCATCATGGGTCTGCACTAGTCCTCGATTCCCAGTGACTTCTTCATAAGAGCTCAGTGAGAATTTTTATTGAGAAATCTTCATCAGAGACACTACCATTTATCAGACACCTGGTAGGGTCCAGGCACTGTGCTAGTTGTTCACAAAGTCTTTTTGTTCTTCCCTTTGCATTATAGGGATCTTTGAAATTAGATGCAGACAGACTATTTTTAAGGCTTAGAGAGGTGAAATGTGCTCAAGGTCATCAGTGGCTAAGTGTCTCTGCCAGCATTTGAAGGCAGACCTTTTTCATTCTAAAACTTGTTCCTTGGCATCTGCTTTCTATTATCTTAGARATATCATCTGTGAAGTAATCAACAAACAATCATTAAATGAAGTGTCTGCTCTAACACAGCACCAGACTAGGGCTGGAAAGGCCAGGGAGAAATCCAGACAGAGGAATGGTATCCAAGAGAACTCGTCCAACAATTGCCCTAGCTGTTTGAGGCTCAGAAGATTCCCATATTCTGCATAAGAGCTAGAGAGTTTTCTGGAACCAGCCTTTMTCTCTGCCTTCTCCATTTAGGGAGAAATTGCATTTGTGGCTTTGCAAATCTTTCATTTCCCAGGCACCAGGGCTTCACCTGGTAATTTGTGCCCTAAGCAGAGATCAGTGACCATCTCCCATTCCTTTCAGCTCTGAAAGAGGCGCAGGACATTCACGTGCACCTGTTACCCCTGCACCGCCACCTGGAAGTCCTGGAGAGCGTGGAGTTTCCCCAGGTGAAGTCCAAGCTGCGGCCTCTGCTCCATGTGGTCTGTCTGATTTGGGCCACATGCAAGTGCTACCGCTCCCCAGGGAGGCTCACGGTGCTGCTCCAAGAGATTTGCAACCTCCTCATCCAGCAGGTGGGCTACCTGGGCATTCCAACAACATTTCCCTTGGGAGCTGATTGGCATTAAAAAGAGGAAAAGGTGCTTTCTCGGGGCAGGGAAATACTTACGGTGTAAAGAGTTCTCACATTTTAATTTCTGTACTTTCACAAGTCAATAATTCACAAAGTGTAATACCAGAACACTTGAGGGTGGGGGAAGCCTTCCTGGACCCTCTCCCTAAGCCCTAGGGTGGAGAAAAGGGCAGGCTGGGTGAATTTCAACCTCTTTCACGACCTGTGCAAAGTTTGGAGCAAAGTATAGCAATGAAGAATATAGCCTCCGAGCCAGGCATGGTGGGACACACTGATAATCCCAGTGACTCAGGAGGTTAAAGCAGGAGGAGCACAAGTTCAAGACCAGCCTTAGGAGCTTAGTGAGACCCTGTCTCAAAATAAAAAATTAAAAGGGCAGGGGTTGTAGTTCAGTGGTAAAGTGCCCCTGGTTTTGGTTTCAATCCCCAGTACCACCCCTCCATACACACCCATGCAAGAATATAACCTCTGGAATCAGGTTATATTGCCAAACCCTGGCCTCACTACTTGTTAGCTATGTGCTGGGGCAACACCTTGCTCCCTGCCTCATTCTTCTCTTCACAATGTTAAAAAGGCAAGGACCCATTTCAATTTTAGTATATGTGCTGCCGAAGCGAGCACAGAAAGGACCCATTTCAAAGGGGTGCTTGCTAATTGTGAAGCTTTAATGCAATAATGCATATGCCCTACACATGGAAAGAACTTGGTATATGTAAACTGTTAAGAAGCCGCCTCTTACTTTATATACTTTTGCTCCTTCTTTGTATGGACACTTGTAGTATCAATCAATCAGGGCAGTGTAAACCTTGGGGAGTTGAAGAGTGTGTCTGTAAATAGAGCTAGATACCTCAAGGAGGTTCGGGTAACCTTCTCCCCACATTGGCTTCTTTTGCCCCTAAGGAACTGCAACCCTGAGAACCTCATAGTAACTAAAACCCATGGAGCACACTAAGGCTACAAAATGCTGTCACATTCTTGATCTTGATCAATTATCAGTTGAACCTTGAGGGGGAGACAGGAAGGGTGCTATTATTTATTACTACTATTATTTATTTAAAGACATGGGCTAAGGCTCAGGAGATTAACTGCCCCACCCAAGGACACCCACGCAAGGTCCCAAACCAGGTTGTTTGACTCTTAAATCTGCACTTTGTCATCACTCACTCCATGTTTATCAGTCAAGACTTTGTTGGTTGAAAGTCTAATAAACCCAACTAAAAGATGCATCAACCAGAAGAAAACTGATTCACTCCTGTTCTCGAAAGTCTGAGGTAGGCTTGCTTCAGCCCCAACTTGCAATGTGGCCTTAGATGATGTCACCAGGGCCCAGCTTTCTCTGCCATTCCCTGAGGTGATGAACGTGACTGTTCAACAGCTCTAGCTTCTCAGCTTTCTAGGTTCAAATCTCTTTGAGACAGAGAAGTAGTTATGGCCTGAACAATTCTTGCACTCGAGTGACATTGCTATTCATTAAAGAATACCTATCAGCAGACACCTGCCTTAGCCCCAGCTGGTCCCCAAAAGTTCCACTGTGTCTCCTTGCCGGACAGGTCACTTGACCAATGACAGTGATTGTGTCACATCACTGTGACTGAATGGTCACAAAGACTATTTGGCTTAAACCCAGATCCAGTCCACTCGTGGAACTAAGTGTAGAGTCAGATGTGTTCCTTTATTGTACTTGTAAAATCCATTACTTGGACAATTATGCAGTTCTGAGTTGGTGTCAGCTCGGTTATGGGATGTCCTGTGTCTGCAGTCAGACTCAGTGACACTAATCTGCTTGCATTTTAGGCCTCTAATTACCTCAGTCCAGAAGACCTCCTGAGAATCGAGGTGGAAGAAAGTCAGAGAAAACTGCAAGTGGTCTCAGACACCTTGCGCTCCTTCAAGCAGGAATTTCAGGACAGAAGGGAGAATCTCCATACTTACTTCAAGGAGAATGAGGAAGTCAAGGAGTGGGATTTTCAGTCTTCTTTGGTGTTTGTGCGTTTGGATGGCTTCCTGGGCCGACTGTACGTGGTGRCAGTGAGTACATCCATTCACCTCAGCCCCCAGCCCCATAGAGAAGTAAGTCCAGGGACCTCAATGTATACTAAGGGAACACAACTGATGGCCAGCCCTCCATTGGTTGGAAGGACCCATAAGGAGGGTTGGAGAAATAGCTGTCACTTGGATTGATCATTATGTAGTAGTGATTCTATCAGAAGTTTACAAAATTCTGATCATAGACCCATTTAGGAAGAAGACCCAAGGAATCAGTCAGCTAATCCAGTTGGTTTTCAGATTGTCCATCGTCTTTAAACTTTGCTTCAAATAAACTTGAACTGGTACATCAAGTGTGTGAAATGAAAGTGAGCAGATCTGGGTGTAATGGGCCAAGCCCACAAACCAGCTGCTTTGAGCTCTTCCCCCCAACCTGCACCCTCCAGTGAGGTCTAAAAATCCCCAAAGTAGTGAATCCCTATACAAGTTAGAAACACACTTTGTATGCACATTTGTCTTTCTCCTGATTATGGAGGCTGAGGCAGGAGGATCATGAGTTCAAAGCCAGCCTCAGCAACATAGCAAAGTCCTGTCTCTAGATAAATACAAAAAAGGGCTAGGGCTGGGGTTCAGTAGTTAAATTGTCCTGGGTTCAATCCCTGGTACCCACCCTCCCTGTCCAAAAATGTGACTTTTAATTCAAATACTAAGGTTTTCTTTAATTGTTTCAATCTTCAGAATTTAGTATGGTGAACATCTTACAAATATAGATCTGCTGATTGGACTTTGGCGGGAGGATGATGGGAATAAAAAGTGAAATACATACTTTTATCCTGGTTTGATCCATTCAAGGCCAAATTCATGATAAGGACAATAACCAAGAGAAGGAATTAGAATCGTGTTCCCAACTATGATTAGCAGAGGTTTGGAGTAAAGAAGATGTGTTGAGAAGGAGTTGTGGATGAGCAAAATAAGACCGTGGGATGATAAGGATAAGAGAATATTATGGAGTCTGATCATTTTATTTCTAAAAATACAGATCCAGCATAACCAAGCTGCAGGCACTGAGCTAGGTACTGGGATACAAAGATGACTGAAAGGTGGTTTTGCCTATAAGAACTGTCTGGACCTACAGTCATCAATGGGAGGAGGGAGACAGGCTCATGGAGAAGAAAAACCTAGAATCAGGAAACTTCAGTGAGGTGTATTGAGTACCATAAAAAAAAAAAAAGTTGACTCTAATGGGCCAAGCCCACAAATCAGCTGCTTTGAGTCTTCCCCCAACCTCACACCCTCCAGTGGGGTCTAAAAATTCCAAAAGTAGTGAATCCCGACGCAAGTGAGAAACATCTTACTACTACAGATCTGCCGATTGGACTTTGGCRGAGGATGATGCCCATAGTTGATGAGTTATGGGCAGCAAGAAAGAAGGGGCCCCACCCTGTGGCAATTTGAAGAAAACAAACAAACATGTAAACAAACAAAAGCAGGTGCACAAGAGGAAATCAATTTTGAGACTAGAGAAAGAAATTACCAGGAAAAGAAGGTGGGGAAGGGCTTAAAACAGAAAATGTATGAGACAAAGCTAGGTTTTTGAAAGACACACCTTGAATCCTCCATCGGGATCCTGGAGAGTATAAATAATTGATATCCAGCTCCATCCTAAAATGCCTCCTTTTCTCACAGCTGTTTGCAGCACAGGTCTTGGTGTGCTCTCCTCTCCTTCTCCTCCACTCTTTATTCCCCTCATCTCTTGCATCAGTTCCTTTGCTATTGTTTAGCTAAGGTGATGGATACTGGACTCCAGCCTGCCCCTGGCCTCCACTGATCACGGAGGAGGAATAATCGCCTCTGTCCAGCCCTGAGAATGGCCCTGGGATGGTGGGAGAGCAAGGTTCAGAATGACTGCTTGGGCAGAGTCCTCAGGCCCTGTGCACACATGCTAATGATGTGACTTTGCATATAGACAGCTATTCTAACATTAGGGCACCTAATCTACTGGGTATATTCAGTAAACATAAGCAGAGACCGCCACCAGCCTTGCGGGAATCATTACCCTCACAATAGCTCACTCTCAGGCTGCTTTTTTTTTTTTTTTTTGGAATCAAGGGCACACATGCATAAAAAAGCAGTTGCCCCAGTTTAATTAAAGGAGGAATTGAATGCCACCATGCTCTCTGTCTCTCTGAAGTTTACTTTTTTGCTCGTGGGCACAGCGCCACCATTTCCCCTATTTTTCCTCTCCCACACATTGGCAGAGACTCATCCCCCTTGCCCTTTGTAGGCCTCCTCCTCCCTCCTCCCTCCTCCTCCCTCCTCCCTCCTCCCTCCTCCTCCCTTCTCAGTCCCTCAGCTCAGTGCAGCAGGACAGGGGACGATCGATTGTCTCCTGGCATATTTCATGTAGCCCTTTAGTTAACATTCTGTGTATCACCGTGATCGATGCCTGTTTGAAATGGGATTAATCTGCTTCTCTCCAGCAAGAATTAGCATGAATTTAGTCATCCTCGTCTTCTGTTCTAATACAATGGATGACCACAGAGATGAAGGTAACTGCAAGTAATAAATACATGGAGCCAAATGAAGAAATGACATCAATGTCGTTAGAGCCCTGCTCTGTGCGTGCTCAAACCAAGAGGTTATACTGTGAAAGGCTGGTTTTTCATCTCCATGTTTCGCCCACTTTTTTCCCCTGATTTGTGATGCTTTTAACTTTTTTGGTTGTTTTTTTTTCCATAAGATAATTTTTGATGTGCGGGTCCACTCTTCCCTTCTGGGTGCTCAGTAAATGAAGGTGGATGGGGCCAGAAGGTGCTGCTTCGAAGGAAGGTGTTATATTGCTGAACAGTTTCCAACAGGTCTGCGGTATGTGGACTAATTGCATTCTCAGGATGCCAATCTCTTCCTCATTCCTGTCTTGATAACTAATCACCGAGACAGCTCACTCTCCTGGAGGTTAGAAAGAATAGGAAAATGAAGAAGTAGTATATTTCAAGAGCCTCTCTCCTTCCACAGTCTGTATCCTTACAATCATCATAAGAGTTAGTTCTCAATGCCTTTACTTTAACAAGCGAGCACAATTAAATCCGATATGTAAGTTAACTCTTCCGCTATCGCATGGCTCAGAGTGATTTATCTACAATATTTACCCCAGCTAGGGCATGTGGTCTTTTCACCAAACTTTTGATATCTTCCAGGGAGTTATAAAGGTCTATTTCCCTTTCTTCCCTCCCATTTGGAAGATCTCAAACTAGCTTCATAGTTTCATTCTATCCTTATACATTCTGCTCTTTTGCACCCTATTTTTATGATTTCCAGGTCTTCTTACCTAAATAGGTCATTCAGGTAAAATTATGATTCCCATTCCACGAAACAGCCTTCTTCGATTTTACGACTTCCGAAGGAAATCCCAGAAGTATTTAAAATTTTTGCCATTTGAATCAACGGACAAAAAAAATTGAAGAAAAAGAGACATTTCGGTTGCCTCTGGGTTTCTTCCATGATCTAGCTTCTCACAGAAGCTCCGGCAAGCACCCGCATGAGTGCACACTCACACACACACACCGGGTTCATTTTTGTGCCATAATATTGTAGATTCTGCAGATCCCCTGTTTATGTTTCTGCCTGCAGCCTCTTCCCTGCAAACAATGCAGTAAGCAGCTTGGAGAGAACTCTCACTTCTTTCATTATAAAATTGCTCTAAAGCTGTGTTTCACTTGGAGACTAAATGATTTCCTGCTGAGGYTCTATGCAAAGTGATTAGCAGGGAGATAGGTAATAAGCTGACCTAATACACACCACATTTCCTTTTGCTCTTTCCTCCATCTCCAACCACTCCTCAGCCTCCTTTCATTCCCAGCCTAATTGGACTGGCTTCCCTTTTAGCCCAGCTTGTACACGTGGTCGCAGATAAGACCATTAGCCGCCTAAGGTCGGTGGCAGTCGAGAGGTAAAGAAAACAGTCTTTTTTTTCCAAATGACCTTTTGAGATTTTCATCTGTGAATGTCTGCTTTGTGCTCTCCCTTAATGAATTCTGAAGACATTTCTTTTAAGACGGGCAGCGTGACCTCTCCTTCGAGAATAGGATTGCTGTTGGTGGAGCTTGCCATTATACCTGATGTGGATTCTTCACTTCATGGGCCAGAGCCCGAATTGAACCCTCCCAGTCACCCTCCACTTGCCACCACCATTAAATATTGTGCTGTTTTTCGTAGGAATAGGACYCAATCAGTCCAGTGAGCCACCTGGAATCCCAGAGCTCTTAAGGATGTCTATTTTGAAAGGAGCGACAAAATGACCCCCTTTATAATCTGCTATGCATCTAATATCTACCAACCTCTCCTACTGACATCAGGAAGATCATAATTAAGTATAATGGCTACCATTTATTGCAGTCCCATAAAAGATACTTTCCATGTAACTTGGGAACCCCATGGCAGGTTGAATATTATTGTCCCCACTTACAAGAAAAGAAAGGGAGCTGTAGAAAAGTCAAGTGTCTCCCTTGAAGCCACATCGCTAGTAAATGGCAGAAACAGGGTGGTGCGATCTCAAGATTTATCTACAATGCCACTTGTTCTCTCCCAAGGACGATGTTTTCATCCTGAGTACAGTGGAATGAATTTCATGTATTTACTACCATCATGAATAAAAATGGTTATGTTAAAATATTTTTTAAACCTCTTATGGGCTTAAATTTGCTCTTCACACATTTTTTTTTTTTGAGAACTTTTAAATAACCAGTGGGGGAAAAAGTTGACATCTAAGTCATTGAAGAATCAGAGGGTTAGCCAGGATCAGTAGGATAAATCTATGTCTACACTGGTGAGGCAATTTCCCACCTGCCTCAGAATATTTTTCTACAATACACCACTGTCAAATTCTGCTAGAGCCCATCCATTGATGGGAGCTTGCTCCTTCTCTCAGCAACCCATTCTAAGGTTGGGCATGTTTAGGCACTAGATGGTTCCTTTTGATTAAATGAAGCCACGGGAAATTGTCATCTTTTTTTTTCGCAAGTGAAAACCATCACATATCAGAAATCTCATGGGTTCAACCCTCACGGTGAGACCAGATCTACTTCTTTGTCTCCTTTGCTCCTCGGCTTTCATTCAACTGTTGAATGAAAGTGGGTCCGCAGAAGGTTCTTTGAACTAGTCAAGGGCCCTTCTGACATCCAAAGGCCTGGCCTTGTGTTCCTCTCCTCCAATCTCACTTTCCTGGTTTTCACCAACCGCTCTTCAGAGGCCCTGGTTCCTTGGTGCTTTGTCACCCTTTCAGCAGTCTTCCGGATGGGTGCCGCTCTGTCAGAGCACCATGGGGAGGCACCCGTTCATTCAGCAAATGTTTGTTCAGCATCCAGGACTCTGCCAGGCACTGGTGATACCGGGACCCTTTTGGGACATTTACAACCCACCCAGAAACATGGATAGAAAATAAGCAAATTGTGTAATATAATGTTATTATATTAAAACGCCACAGTGTGATAAGATTTTTTTGGCCCCCGGATCCCAGGCTTTATCTACAGTGCCACTTGTTGTCTCCCAAGGATGATGTTTTCATCCTGGGTATAGTGTGTAATGAATTTCATATATTTACTACCATCATGGGTAAAAAATTATAAAATCAGAGAAAGGGATGGAGAATTCTGGGAATGGTAGAAAGGGGGAGAATAAGAAAAGCCCAAAGACCTTTAATTGAGCCCTAAATAAATGGGTCATCCCCCCCCATGCTTGTTCAGTTAGGATAACATTATTTTCAGCAACGAAGCTTTCTCTAAAGGTAGAATATTAACCATCTCTCTAATATCTACAATTTACCTGTTAGATGAGACATGAAACACCTTTCACTGACCATCCAAGACCATGTTTCAAGTGTTCGTCATAGTATGACAAAATTCTCATCTTGCTTTCTGATGTAAACAAACATATAAAATGGATAAATTCTTCTTTTAAAAGGGTCAGATAGTATTTCATAAAAACTGAAATTGACAAATTTATGCATTTGTGAAGAATGAGTACAATTTTCTCCTGTAAAACCAATGACAACTAAGCCCTTTTTTTATTTATTTATTTTTTAATTTTATTTTTTTTATTGGTTGTTCACAACATTATGAGAGATTTGATGACTGTCGATTTCATTCAAATAAAATTCACTTCAGTTTTCTTCCTACTACATAAAGTTGAACATATTTTTTAGGTATTTTTATTATTTCTATCATACAAAATTATGGGAAACAGTGTCATAATTTAGTACACGTATACAGTGTGTAATGATCTAGTCAGGATAGTTAACGCTTCCTTCTCTTTAAACATTTTAAATTATTTTTGATTTACTCATGATAATTATACACATCTATGGGGAACAGTGTAATATTGCAATACATTATACAATATGTACTGAACAAATCAGGTAATGAATGTTTCCGTCTTCTTACCATTGCTTTCTGTGTGGAGCCTTTGAGTTCTTCTCTTCTGCTTACTCATAACCTATGATAGATAATTTTGAATTATAGTCACCACAACTGTGCTGTAGAATACTAGAAATTACTATTTATATCGACTTCTGTGTGGGTACCTTTAATATGACTCCCACTTCCCCCTCCCCACATCCTTCCCAGCCTCTAGTAATCACTATTGTACATTATGACCAACTTTTTTTGGATATCCACGTGTGGGAGAGAACATGGCATTCCTGTCTCTCTGCATCTGACTCATATCACTTAACATAATGTCCTCCAGTTCTATGTTTTCTGCAAATTATAAGATATCATTTTTTWAAAAAATTTTATACCACATTTTCTTTATCTATTCATCCATTGATGGACATCTCCGCTGCTTCCATATTTCAGCTATTGTGAATGGCATAATGCAGCAACAAACATGGGCATGCAGGTGTCTTTTTGATATGCTGATATCATTTCCTTTGGGTAGATACCCAGAAGTGGGATAGCTGCATAATGTGATAGATCTTTTTTTTTTTTCATTTGTATGAGAAACGTCCATACTGTTCTGTATAGCTGCTATGCTAATTTATATTCAATGGTGCATGAGCATTTTCTTTCTCCACATCCCCACCAGCATTTATTTTTTTGTGTGTCTTTTGGATAACAGCCATTCTAACGGGGGTGAGATGATATCTCATTGTGGTTTTGACTCACAGTCCCCTGATACCTGATGAAACTGAGCATATTTTTTTTTCATAAATGAATCGGTCACTTGAATTTCTGCTTTTGAGAAGAAATACCCTTTATCCAATTTATTATTTCATCATTTGAGGTTTTGTTATATACATTATATAAGAAAATATATTATACATATTGTATATTCTGGATATGAATGCTTTGTCAGATGAACAAGTTTGCAAACATTTTCTCCCCTTATGTCTCTCTGTTGATTGTATCCTTTGCCATGTAGAAACTTCTTACTTTGATATAATCCATTTTCCATTTTGGCTTTTGTTTTCTGCATCTTGAGAGTCTTATCCAAAAAAAAAAAAAATGTAGCCCATACCAATGTGTTGAAGTGCTTCCCCATGTTTCCTTCTAATATTTTAAAATAGCAACTACTCCATCCTCTACCAAGGTTAGCAAGAGCCCCAGTTCTAATGTACATCTTCTCTTCCTTGGGCGGTATCCTCCTCCCTTCTCTCTGACCTTCCCATACACTACCACTCCCTCAGCCCTTTCTAGCTGCTTGATGATGACCATCCCCAACATAGCTGAGCAAAAATGTGGAGTACTTGATGTCTGCCTAAGGCTTCATGGGTAATCCCCTGGGAAAAGTGGGGGGGAAACAATCAGCCACTTCTCCTCACATCCAGTGACTCTGTCACTGCTGTTGGACTTGGTGTCCCAGAGAGAGAAAGGAGCTAAGCAGCTCCTTTGGTCAATCGTACCATAGCCACTGGCTGTGGGGATTTTCTAGACTGCTACCAGGACCTACTGTATTGTCCAGCATCGGTGTCTTAGCATACTCTGTTCCTGCCCTTCCAACCTCCTCAAGGTACAGGACCCCCTCCCAGGGGTCTACRCAAAATGTTTACCCAAACGACACAAAGGTAACCTTAACCTTCGTCCTTCCTGTGCATAGATGGGAAGTCCTGCCAGTACATGTATCTCGGTTTGGAGGTTTTGTGATTTTAGACAGGTACTCACGAGGGATAAAATCAACCTGTGCTTTTAGACATGCTCAGGAGGCTTTTGTATCAGCAGAGGAACCTSTCCCCAAGGCTTCTGGGTTGTGTTACCCACCTGTCATTTCCTTCTGAGCTGGGGATGCTGCCATTTCAGCAATAGTGATGGTAACATATACAGTGTGCCACCTATGGCCTAAATCCTAGGGCTGCATTAACTGGTTTAGCTCTCACAACCATGCCCTAATATATTACTGTWATCCTGTAAAAGACAAAGAAACCCAAAAAAGAAAGGATGAGTGAGTGACTTCTGTTCCCTATGGTGCCATGGCACAGTGTGCTGCAGATGCTGGGCAAAGATGCTCTTCAAGAGATTTTTTTTTTTTTTTTTTTGCTTGGCAGAAGGCATTGCTAAGAAGGCTGATGTTACCCTGTGTACGTGTCCTTTGAACCATTTGGAGGGTCTGCTTTCCCGTCCATATCCTCTTAACTGTCATTCTAGAAGGAGATAACAGCCATTCAAAATTGACTTTTTAAATAAAAATTGGTGGTAAATCCATCAATCATGAAGTGGTTGTGTGATTATTATGTTTTATAATTTATTCTAGAGCCCAAAGAGAAAAGTTGAAGCATGCATTCCCTTATTTATCTTGGTGTCTGCGAATCTTATCTATCTCCACTTTCTTTTTGGATTGTAAACGAGTTTTACTAGGAGTTATTTTTACCAACCCAATCTAATAATAAGGTTACAAAACTAATCAGGCATCGCATTTTCCTAAGCAACCACCACCCACCCCCATATCATTTCCAGCTCTCCCCATCCATGGTTGTGAGGATGATGATAATGATGATGACTTTAACTCATTTGTGCATTGTTCTCATAGGATCTTCTGAAGACTGCCTTGGATTTCCACAAACTGGGAAAGCTTGAGTTTAGTGGCATCAGAGGGAATTCCTTAGGTCAGCAGGTCCAGCAAATGTACGAGGAATTTCAAGAGATGTACAAGGTCTTCTCAGAGTGCTCCTATGACTTCTTGGACCCCTCRAACATGGTAGGGCTCAGAGGGGCTAACCTGCAAGCTTTGTCCCTGTCTCAGATGCCTTTAGCCCATAAGGTCCTGGCATTTACTTTCATTTTTTTTTTCCTATGCATTTTATTTGCCTCTGTGTTCTAGTGGTTTTCTCAGTTACTGCTTGTATCTGGAGAAATTATTATTATTATTCCTGTGTTATTAAAGAGATCCTAATTATTGTTTGTGCTAGGAGAAAGATCAGAAAGTGCCTTTCTCCACCATTCACTGCTCCAGACTAAGCTAGCTGGGTGTGGAAATGACAATGGAAGCTGTGGTCACCATGTGGCTTCAAACTAAATAAAATAAACCAATACTGCATGATCTCACTCATGGTGGAATCTAAAACAGTCAAACTCAGAAACAGAGAACAGAGGTCTCTACTGGCTATAGGAAGAAAGTGCTAGTCAAAGGGTACTAAGTTTCAGTTATGAGAGATGAATGATTTCTAGACATCTAATGTACAAAGTAATGATAGTCAACAATCATCTACTGTGTACCTAAAATTTTCTGAGTAGATCTCAAGGGTACTTACCCTCCATCCTGCATACATACACACACAGAAGAAAATGGTAACTCTGTCACTACATGAGGTGATCGATATGCTAAAGCTTGGTTGTGTTTATTTTAAGGTGTGTAACATACCAAAGCATCAAGTTCTATACCTTACATGTACAATTTTTAATTTGCCTATTATACCTCAATAAAAGTATGGGTGGGGGGAGGTTTTAAGCTTGAAGCAGAAACTGCTAAGTGAACATTATCCAAAGTACATGGATGAGGACACAAATTGGTATCAAAATACTTTATATTTCAACCAGAGATATGAAAAATTGTGCTGTATATGTGTAATAAGAATTGGAATGCATTCCACTGTCATTTATTTTTTAAAAAATCAATTTAAAAAAAAAGTTCAGGCATACCTGGACAGAAGTTTATCAGTGACTTGGGGAAGAATAAGTGAAACTGTCACCCACTGAGGATAAAGAAAAGCCAGGGATGTGTTTCCCAGGAGTGAGACCAAGAGCTGGTATCCCACCTGTAGCTCTGAAAAACGAAGACCTATGGGTTCTAAAGCCCAGGAGCAAAACAGAAAAGGAGCCAGTATGGAAATAGGGAATGGAATTTCCTAAAAAGAAAGACAAAGTCAATGGATAAGAAATTTCAAGAGAATGGGAAGGAAAAGGAAAGAGAAATTAGGATAGTAGTCTACTCTGAATAACTTCAGACAAGAGATATTGGTTATCCAGACCCAAGAGATGCCACTTAAAAAAAATCCATTATTCAGAGAGAGAGAGAGAGAGAGAGAGAGAGAGAGAGAGAGAGAGATAATATGAATGAATGAGGGAATTCAAAGCAGGGTAAATACTATGTGTTTGCAACTATAAAATAAAATTTTACAACTCCCAGAAACAGGTAAAAAATATTGTAAGGAAACATACCATCATGTCAACATGGTTGGGTTTAGAAAGTAGAACTATACTATATTTTCCTACTTTTAAAAATATGAGTTACTATTTTTAAACCATTACAAGCAGTCATTGCACAAATTAGAGTTTTGAACCAACAAAATTTTTCCTGAAAGTTGCTGTACTCTAAGAAAAGGGTTGCCAGACACAACAAAGTAATTGGATTATACTTACATTTTTTAAAAAAAATTTCATTGTTGACTTGAAATTCAAATTCAACTGGGTGCTGAGTGTTTTTATTTGCTAAATTTAGCAATCTCCACAACAATGGCTAGTTGCTGTCTCAATCAATTAGGTTCTACTTAAAGGAAATAGTATATATTCATTTAGTTAGCTTACTTTTTTTTTTCTAATGGCTAGATTAACTTGGTTACACACACACAAAAAAAATGGGGTTTTGACTTGGGGAAGAAAAGACAGTAGGCAGTAATGTTGGAATAGCCCCCATTGCTGGGATGTTGCTGTTGTGATGTATTGTGGGGTTGCATGAGCTGATGTTGTGGGTGAGAGAAGGGGCTCCAGGATGTGGAAGAGATGGGCACAGAAAGGGGGATAAAGGTCCCAACCTCACATTTGATTCCCTTTGCCATTTTGCCCAGTGTGTGTTGGTAAAATGCTTCAATAACAGGGTAACTCTCTACATGGACCATCCTTTACCAGAGGATGGTAAGGATAGTATCCCAAGTCATAGCACAATGAATTCTAGGGAATAAAAATAAARTAAACCTTTGGCATGGCTGATTCAAGCACAAAGGTTAATGGTAAAGACCATAGTGGGACCGGTGTTCAGAAAGTGGTGTTTTTCTTACATATACTTTTCTCTCCTCAGGAATTTGAAAATGACATCTCTGAATTTAACCAGAGAGTAGAAGATCTTGACCAAAGATTGGGGACCATCTTTATTCAAGCTTTCGATGACACACCCKGCTTGGAGCATGCCTTTAAGGTTTGTACAAGTAGGACAGAAGCCACCCCCGGGCTCCATACTCCCCTGGCCTTTACCAGAGGATGGTAAGGATAGTATCCCAACTATTTTGCTCCTAAAAATCTTCTTCTCTGTCTGGTAGATAGGGATGTAAACGTCCTATGGCAAGGGAGTGTGCAGAGTCAGACTGATGACTTATGCTTCTCTGAAAACATGACATTAGAAAACACTTTTTAAAAAAGAGTTTCTTCTGCAATGCCCTCTTCAGCGCCACACTTTATCACCTTCTACAGTAAAAGTGAGAAAGTCTACTGTGGTCACATTTGAGACCATGGCTCTGTAATACCATGGCTGTTTAGCCAGTGCTACCAAACTAGAGCAAACCACTTACCTATGATCCTGTAACAGATCACAGGACCAGCATCAGTCACCAGAATAAGACCTGTGCTCTCACCCTATCTAGTCCAGATCGGGTGGCCCAGAGAATACGGAGGAAAAGGTTGAGGAGAGTGAGGACATTAATAGCTGCACAACTGTGTATGTGGAGTTGGGAGACTGGAAGATGTGATTACATGGGACAGATCTAATGTAAACCCTGAAGAGGCTTTTAGAGTCAGGAGGAAGTTACAGAGAGACAAAGGATGGTTCAATAGAAGACAGAGATATCCTTCAAAACGTTCAGGTAGAATGGACTTCTTTGAAAAGTAGTTTACTTTCTGGTCACTGAAAATGTCCAAATAGAGACTAAATGATAAGTGAGACAATTGTAAGAGAGTTTAAACCTTGTCTGGATGAATCTGTGCTATTTTGGAATATTAAGTAACCCAAAATAGTCCAGGTCTTACTAGCCTCTGTGTGTGTGTGTGTGTGTGTGTGTGTGTGTGTGTAAACTTTAATAATCACTTTATCTTTCATAACTCACTGAATAAAATTTCCAGGAGTCCCTCTTCAAGCACTTGAACTAATTTTGAAACCATAACTCCATTCATGCACTGAGAATGCCCATTCTACTCATATGAATTCCTCTAAACAAGAGCTTTCAAGAAATCTTCAATAGAGCCCTTCCATGTATTCTCCAGTGGCTCTATGAAATCATTGTGTGTCTCTACTCTATGTCTATAATATCCCTGGGGAACTTCATCTGTCCAGGAAGGCGTTTGAAGAAGTCTTTCCACTGCTTGTTAGATGGTTCCCACCATGAAAATATGTACATGTAGACCAAAACATATCTCTCTGGGTTCTACAAATTCTAATCCTTGAAATTTTATCGAAGAGTCTGGGTAGAAGAAGAGGGAGCTCTTCCCGATATTGTTCCTAAAGCAGCACTGTTTATATGGAGTCTCAAAAGACTCTCATCAAAGCAGATTCTTTATCTTCTGGCCATGACTCTGCTCAGCTGCCCACAGAAAGTGAGGCCGACCAAGGTGGTTCCCAAGGCCCTTTCACATGCTTTGATCTCCCTTGTTGGCCAACTCACCAACAAGAAGTCAAAACCCTTCTCTCCTCCTCCAGCCAAAGCAAAAGTTCCAATGGATAGAACTTCATGAAAATAAGTGCTTTTTCAGGGTTCTGGGAATTGGGGCTGACCAGAGAGATCCTCTGACTTCTGTTAACCCTGTTACTGCCGTACAATCATCCAACCACTGATGTACCTTAGAGGTCATGGCCAGCCAAGGTACATCCAGGCTAAAGACCAGGAGTTAAACAGTGTAGGCTGACCGCAGGGCTTCCTCAGCTGACAGGTCTACACGTTACCAACAGGAGATGTGAGCCACAGGACTCAGTGGAGACCCACTCTCTTATACCTCCTTCAAGAAGCAACTACTTTCTACCAGGGATCTAGGTGATTTTTGTTGAGGAAAAGCTGTTTTTAATCCCTCAGTGGAAAGCTTTGGTACCTTTATCAACTCTTCAGAGTGCACTGGAATCATTGAAGGGCCTTTGAGTTGTCTGAACTGAGACATATCTGACCCAGGACTGACCCCACCCCAATCTGATCTAGGACTGCACCCCCCATCTATATGGGCTCTTCTCTGCATGTCATGATCATTCCCTATGACATGTCCTGGAGATCCAAAACCCTCTCTGATTCATGCCAGTCACCTCCTGACGCTCACTCTTTCTCCTGCTCTAGACTTCGAAAGGCAGWAAAGATAAAATTGATGAGAATGTCCCAATGTGAAATAAGGTGGCAACAGAACKAGCATGAGGTCTCAGACAAATGGGGTCTACCCAGCTTCCAGGATAGATACGTGGATATAACCTTGACACTGTGTCTCTTAAAAGCAAGGGTTAGCAAACATTTTTCTGCACAGGGTCAGAGAATAAATATTTTAAACTGTGGACACATGTATTCTCAACTTTAGTTGATTTTAGAAAAACAAAACGCCTTTTTTGAAATGAACCACATACCGAGGTCAAAGGCCAGGTTTTAACACCCACTGCCTGTCCCTGGTCAACCTCTGACTTGAAGAACCCATAGAGATGGGAGACTATACTGGAAGGCAAGTTTAGAAGCGGTGTATTGGTATGTCCTAAATATACCTGATATCCTGCATGGTCTGGCCTCAGAGCAGCCTCACAGTCAAAGAAACTCAAGCCAGGAGCCAAGAGGTAATTAAATGCATTTCACTTCTTGATTTGGCTGCTTCAGGAAGCACCAGAGGGTTGAGGCTGTTTTAATACATCTTCAAATTATCCTTAACTATTACCTCCTTTCTCAGTGCAACTCTTCTCTGCAATGTTTTTCCGGCTCTCACTCTCACTTTTCAGCTCTACATATTCTCCCCAAACCCAACCTTCTTAGCTCATTTCTTTTCTTTTCCACGATCACCTCTCTTCTGTTTTAGGTTATTAGTTAACCTTTTTAAAACCTCGACCTTTAGATCAATTTAACCTTCCTAGCATCCTTAGTTTTCCTTTTGTTCCAATTTTTTATGAGACAAGAGAGTCTGGTAGGTAGCCCAAGAGACCGGAGTCCGTCTATTTTAGAAGCAAAGGAAAAGGGGAAACAGTAGGAATAATCTCATACTAATAATTACTGCTCTGATTCTGCATCAATTGTGCACCCCTCTTGCATTAATAGACATAGGAAGGAAAAACCAAGAAGCAGGATTTATGGAAGCTTGGAAATGTTTAATGCGTGACCTTTTCTTCTTCAGCTGCTAGACATAGCAGGAAACCTCCTGGAGAGACCACTGGTAGCACGGGATGTATCAGATAAATACCTCGTCCTCATCGGAATGTTCAGTGAAGAGCTGGATGCGGTGAGGACCATCTACAGTCAGCACATCCAGGAAGAGGCAGAACTCGGTATGTTTGTTACCAAGGGGTTTTGATAGGGAAGTTCAGTTACAGGAAAGGTTCAATGCATCCCCCTCATATTTGTTAAACGTCTATATATGGGTCTATGACACTGTCCAAGAAGGGCAAACATGACCCTTTTGCTTGAAATTCCAGACCATCTTGAGTGATGGCAGGGTTCAGTGCACTGTAGGTTTCCTGTATCTAGGGCTGAGATGGGCAGGCTGAGTTAGAGCAGTGAAACCTTGAACGTCATAGTGACCTTGGCATCACATGCGAGTGGACCCCTGACACTGTTGCCACACTGATTAATCTTCAGCATACTGCCAGCCATTCACAATAGATTATACATGCCAGAGAAAAGTTTCTTATCCCTTCCACTGCCATGGCAACCATGCTTCTGGTGGGAGAAACCGGCAGGATCCTGACAAAGGGCAGCTCGTTACCTTGCAGAGGTGCGATGTCTCCATTCTTATTACAGTTCAATGCCCTATTGTATTTGTTTGAAAGTCAAAGGAGTGAGTTTGTTTCAGCTTTACAAACATTTCTTGAGTCGGTTGCAAGATTTCTTTGCAGGCACTCTGTGTAATGGCAAGTCTGGTTTAAGGGATAAAATCATAACTATTTTATGGTTATTTTATTCTTAGTTATTTTATGATCAAGAATAATCAACTATTTAATTAAATAATGAATAGTGAAAGGCGGTTGTTCATAGGGTCTGAATAGTGTTCCACCTGATGGATAAGGACAAAACAAGGTGAATTGTGGCTGAGAGATTCCCAGGTAAATCTATGGGAGAGGAGTATGGAGCTGAGCCCTAAAATTTGGGGGGATTGAGAGCAAGGGGGAAGAGGCAAAGGGCTTCAAAGAAAAGACATGAGACAATGTGGAAGATGATCAGCCAGTACTGCCTATAACCAAACAAAATATGCAAAGAGAGAGCAGTKCAATCATGGAGTTTGCAGTCCCAATGTGAAGTGCTCTGAGTCCCACATTAAGGAATCTGAAAGACCTTATTATGTGGGCAATGGGAATTTGTTTAAGGTTTATAAGTAGCTAAAAACCAGGACCATTTTGATTAAGAAACAGATTTCAGAGTGAAGTCACTAAGAATGGCCTACACTGAAGAAATCATTCTCAGACAGTTGGTTGGTCCAGCTTCCTGTAGGACAACTCTCCTCACTTCTTATAGTCAAGAACAGAGTATGAGAACTCAAACTCTTCAGGAGCCATATGGGTTTTCTGTTTCTGTGTGGCAAATATGCACAACTGTTATTAGCTTTAAGCAGCACCCATTCTTCAGCCCACAGTTCCTGAAGGACAGATGTCCAGTATGGTGTATCTGGGATCTTGGCTCTACGTCATGAGGCTGACATCGAGGAGTTGGCCAGGCTTAGTTATCATCTGGAGGTTCTCAGAGGAATAAAGTTATTATCCAAGTTATTCCTGTTGGTAGAATCCAGTTGCTTGTAACTGTAGGTCTGAGATCTCCTCTACCTTGTTGGCTACCAACAGAAGCTTCTCCCCCAAACTAGAAGCCACCCACATTTCTTACTAGATAGCTACCTTCATCTTCAAGCCAGCCATGGCACACTGAACCCTCTCATGCTGCCAATCTCTGACATCCTCTTCCACCTCTTGCCAGAGCTCTGTTGTTACCAATTTGCCTGATAAGGTGAGGTCCACCCAAGATCCTCTTCCTTCTGCTCCAGAATGTAACATGGACATGGGATAGCATCTTATCATGGCCACAGTTTCTATCCACACTTAAAGAGGAGAGGATAATGCAAGGATGAGGGTCACTGGGGTCATCTTTGAATTTTTCTGATCATGAAGACTCACAGGAAGTGAAAATAATGACCCTGGGCTGAGTGTGAGACATTAGGGAGTAGTAAAGGAAATGTCCACTCTTAGGATCCCATTGCTAGTTAGAATTGGCATTGGATTGTTGCCAATCTTCTCATTTTACCAGGGAAGTTGAAAACTGTGTTCATTTATTTAAAAAAAAAATAAAATCTCACATTTGGTAAATCTTAACAAGTCATTATAGGTAAATGTACATAACACATGAACTAAAGTCAGAGTGTCTAGGTGGCACCGACCCTGCTCAGATGGTTTATGATTCACATGACTTGTGTCATTCTTAACCTTGTTGAATTCTCCTGGAAACTTTCCAAGTTCATTAAGCAGGGAAGATATTATTCTCATTTTATAGATGAGAAAACTGAGGCCCAGAGAGAGTTGTCTGTTCAAAGCAGTATCTCTCCACCCTGTTGGTAGAGAGATTATCTCTACCAAATTCTAGAGGTAGAATTATCTTCAGAGCTTCTAAAAAAATCACCTATGACCAAGCACCCAGACCAATTAAATCAGAATGGCTGGGCAGGGAACCCATGTCCTCGGATGCTCTTATATTTTTTCCAGGGTTGTTTTTATTTCCTCTTTAACAGAACCGAGTGAGCTTGCAGGAACTCCTCAGTGTAAGCCTAGGTGACCTTAGTGTGGAGGTAGATGCAGCAATATCGAAGTAACTGGCAGGAAGTATCCGCAGGGTGGAGGGAGCTATAGGGGACTGTAGCCTCACTTCAGTCTGGCTGTGCCATGTCCCCAGGGTTCTCCCCGGTGCACAAGAACATGCCTGCTGTGGCCGGGGGCCTCCGCTGGGCACAGGAGCTGAGGCAACGTATCCAGGGTCCCTTTGGCAACTTCAAACGCATCACGYATCGGTGAGTATCTCCTTCCTGAATGTCAGGTTTGTTCCTGCTGTGGTGCATTTTTTGAGTGTAGAAATGCTGCTCACTTGCCTAAGGCATGAAAACCATCTTTATTTCTTTCCATTTCCAACGATGGTCTAGGTACCTATAGCCAAATAGTAAAGATACTCATACATTTGAACTGAGTTCCTGGTCCCTTGGTATTGAGTGAGGCTTAACCGACCACAGTCTAGCAGGCTTTGCTCTGTGACATTCATTTCTAGAGGAAAATAAGGCAGGGATTTCAAGCTCTGTGGAGGTCTTGCACATCTCTCCCTTTCTGTGACTCAATGACTCTGCAGCTGAGGCTACTGAAGATGAAGCCAGTGCTTTCTAAACTGTGGTGTGAGTACCTTGTTAAATAGAACGCCCTAGAGCACACCTGTTACCTGCTGAATATGAGCCTGGCCTGGACTGTGAATCTGCTTCTTCAGCAAGTTCTTGATGTGCTTCTGATGGTAACCCGGATGCAAAACTGTGGGCCTGTTTTGTGGCTGAGTCTAGAAACTGAGATACTTAGAGGCCACTAGGAGGGAGAATAGTTAGTTGAGACATCATGCTTAGGATGCCCCCTAGGTACAGGAAGTCTTTCTCTGATCCCTCTTTCTAAAAGACTCGGCTGTGTTGAAAGCACTTGTCTTTGGCAAGCACAACAGAAGCAAAGGAACTAGAACTGGCTGTAGGCATCACAGGCTTTTGGAAGTTAGGATGAACTGTGAGACCCTCAGGTAGTGAGAGTAAAGACCTTCTGCAACCAAGAGGCATAATAACTAGTGAGGCAGAGGGTATGGGAGAGTGGGATGGGGTCCTCAGGGGGCTGCCACCACTCCATTTGATTATCACCATCTTGAAAAGCAGCCCCTATATTCTTGAGTGTTGGATAGAAGCTGACTTTTTTTTTTTTTTTTTGGTGCCAGGGATTGAATCCAGTGGTGCTTAACCACTGAGCCACATCCCCAGCCTTTTTTATCTTTTATTTTTTTAAATTTGGAGACAGGGTCTCACTAAGTGGCTTAGAGCCTCCCAAAGTTCCTAAAGCTGGCTGCCTCAGCTTCCCAAGCTGCTGGGATTACAGGCATGCACCACCGTGCCCAGCAAAACTGGAAATCTTTAGTGTTGAATATCGAACTTTAAAATGATTAAGGATTCTATTTCTCCCCAAACTCTGCACAGATCTAACAAAGCATGCCTGTGGGCSAAGTCTGCCCAGTGTGTGGCCATTTGGAGCATCTGCCCCAGTCTAGGCGAGCTCTTTATTCTGCAGATAAAGAAAACAGGCAGAAAGAAATGAGGTGACTCACCTAAGTTCTTAGAGACAGCCAAGGAGACGACTGAAAGATCCGTCTGGGTCTTTAGTGCTTCTAGCCCAGAGCTCTTCCCAGGGGTCTCTGGTTTGGCCAGGAGTAGAGCACAGCTAATCCTTCATGCTTTTCAGACATGTCCCTTAAAGTGGAGGGGAGTGAATGTGGTAGGGAGGGATGTTTGGGCTGCTTCCAGGAATATGGACTGCAAAGTTGTCATTGGTCTGCCTCTGAGAAAGCAGGCATGTGTAGTTACTGACAAAGATGCTCTCAGAAATAGCAGCCGTGAGGCAGTAAGAGAAAAGGGATTGAGCAGAGGGAGAATCTGAACTGCTGTGTAGTTGCAAATAAGGCTTCAACAGATCCTTCAGGGAGGACCAGTTCCTCAGAACCGTCTGGCTGCTGCACCCCCTACATCAGCTAGTCCTTGGATGTGAGGTTTCCTGGGGAGGGCTTGACCTTGAACAAGGTGTCTATCTTTGGCAGAACTATTCTCCAATAGGAGGCAGTTGTGCATCCTCTGCAGCCAACACACCTGGCTATAGGAGTCTGGGGTTGGGGAAATTTAGGGAATGGTCAGACTGCCTGGTTCCAAGAGGGGCTGTGGGTGGCACACTATGGCAACCTCTACAAGTCTCATGAAAATTCCCATTTGCTTTAAAAATGAATTCAAATGTGTAATGTACTCTGTAGCATAGACTTATTAGTTATTAAAAATGTTGTGGAGTCCTCACCCTGAAGGGAAGTGGTAGCTACTGGGAATCTTGCTAGACTGATTCCTGTGGCTTCTCAGACCCATCAAGCCACTGCCAGATTCCACATGTGAGAAGCCTCATTTCTCTCTGCATCATTTTCTTTCAGATACAAAATTGACATCCAGGGATTGGGAGGCCTGCAGAGATCCTGCAGCTTGTAAAGTGAGAGCAAGGTGTGAGCCGGTCCACCTGGCCTGGAGCACTTCTGCTTCTCCTTGCTGCTCATTCACCACAAAAGGGCATGGAATGACTGGGAGCCCAGTGCTCCTTCAGTGGGTGTGAGGGATCATCTGAAGAAACCCAGTGATAGTTTAAAGAGCAAATGAATTTTAAAGAATCATTACAATAAGCTGCCTCACTTTGCTAGCAGCACAGAAAACAAAAACAAAAAACCTAGACCTCCAAACAGTTACTGTGACAGTTTCTGGAAATTCAAGATACTTCATCCATCTTCCCAGGAGCTGGACTTTTGTTTCATGTTGCAGCAAGTGTCAAAAGCAGAGGGAGCAGTTATGGGTAACAGGGCGGCAGGTTAGACTCTGCTTACTCCTCTGTGGGCCTCAGCGTTTCTGCAGAGATCTTTGAGTGCGTGTGAGCACACATGTGCACATGCATGTATGTCTATGTGCACACACAAATATATGTGCATTGTGTGTGCATGTATTTGGGTGATGAGAGGTGTGTGTAGCACCCTCATGTAAATATATTAAGAATTATCAGTGTTTCTGATCATGTGTCCTGGATGGATTTTAGAGAAGGGAAAATATCATTATATATATTATATTATATATATTTTATTATATATTATACTATATATAATTTTATATACTATATTATATATTGTATATTATATATAATTATACATATTAAATATTATATATTAAATATATATTAAATATRAAACGATGTTTCATATAATATTATTATATATTATATATAATTATATTGTATATAATATTATATATAAAACATTGTTATTTACATATGTTTATATACACACAATGCTAAATTAATCGTTTCTTAAATATGGAAAACTATGGCATCTAGAATTTTTCTTTAATAGTTCAGTTTCCCTTTTATTCATAATTTTGAGGGACCTCATTTACCTCCTGCATGACTAACTCAGCTAGATGAGGGGTCTGGAGAGTTCTGGGCAGGAAAGGTCAAAACATGCATACCACCTGTGGGACCACCTGTGTTCTAGCAGGTACAGCTGCCCCCTAGTGGCCTGAGGAGGCTGTCAAAGAAGAAGAAGAAGAAGAAGAATGTCAACTCATTTAGGGGTATTTGGGAATCAGCCCCCAAAGCCATACAAATTCTTCTTTGTGAGATGCAGAAATGCAGTTTGTTCCTGAGATAATTCCTTCACCGTCTTCTAATTCAGTTTCATTTTTTTTTTCTCCTGGGTGCCCACAGTTGCATGGAATCTGCTGAAGGGAAGAGAATAATACAAAAATATGAAGATATGCTCTCATTGCTGRAAAAGTAAGCAGCAGCTTTGGGGATCACATGGTTCTGCAAATTGCATACCCTCCCCCCACACAGGGCCTTTTGCTAGTTCTAAGTTTGTACCGATTCCTTAGAAGCTCTGAAATGTCACGGTGTTTTATGTTATAGCTACAATGTATGTGAGTACAGTATTTCTGGGTTAATGCACAGGGTCTCTGGAGAATGCTGCTGTATTCTATACACAAATACTTTTCCCGTGTAGATTTCCTTGGAGTAGAAACCCTGCAGAGCTAGAAAGAGTGGGGTGCCACTCACGGCACTCCCAGGAGAGTCCTGGAATATCACAGCCACTGCTCACTAAGTGGAATGCAATAGTTCATGCTTCACAGAGAGCAAATAAACCCCAGAAATACTTCCTGCATCCTTCTTATGGAGAAAGCATCAATGAAACTTTTATAGAGGTTCATAGTTGATCTTGCTTTAAAAGCTGTCTTTGGGGGGGTGCAACGGCTAGAAACAGCCCCTGGTCTCATCTTCTGATTTGGGAAAGTAGGAAGATAGACATTATGATTCTGATCCTGATTTTTCTTAGCACTGTGTTACACAAATCAATTGGTGGCACCTCCACCTGCCAGGGACCCATACTCTACCCCTTTACCTCCAAAATAGCTTCAAGCATCTCCACTCCTCCTTGTTCCCAACTTCAGCATCTTCACAAGGGACTGAACTTCCCTGGACTGACGCAGCAGCTTTCTAACAGTTCTCCCTGCCTCCAGATGAGTGCCCCTTAGTGCCCACACCGTTGCCCAATCCCATAATATCATCACATTGCCCCTCAGACAGAGACCTTCCAGTAGTTCCCATCATTTCCTTAACCTGATGTGAAGAGAGCCMTCCATGATGTGGCCTTTGCCTTCCTCTCACCATATCCAGCCTCAGACTCGCAATCTACTCCTTGTCCCCAGCACACAGTCATGCCCCTACCCTTCAGCCGAGCATTGCTTTTATCAGGARTGTTCTCTCCCCCTTCATTGTGCCACCTCTGATCATTCCCTGATGTGCTCCTTTTCTCTCTGCAGTCCTCTGCCTGTGACATTAGATGCCTGATGCAATGCACGATTCTCCAGGGTTGTACTCACTACGTTATATTACAGCGATCTGTTTATCTGTGTTCTTCACGATTGGTCTCATTACCATTGTTTATTCCCCAAGCCCACGCCTAGTAGATGTTTGGTCAACATGTAATGACGGAATGATGAATGTCCATGAGCTGCTCGAAGATTAGTGTGAAACTTAATGTTACCTGGACCTTCTTCCAACATGTACTGAGACTAATCATAACTTCCCATATCCCCCCTGAAAAGAGCACRTGGAATCTTTCTATGTTCCTCTGATTGAAGCTGAGTCACCATTCAAAATCACTASTTTTATGCAGGAACTGACCCAGCGTGGCCTGATCAGTGATTAATAGTTTCTTCAGTTTGTGTTTTGGAGAATGTCCAAAAGCTGGGGAGCTGGGAGGGTGTGTAAGAGGTGGCTGTTGTCTCTGATGATTGCAGATATGAGACAAGACTGTATGAGGACTGGTGTCGTACAGTAGCAGAGAAGTCACAGTACAATCTTTCCAGACCACTTTTGCAACGTGACCCAGAGACGAAGCAGATCACTGTCAACTTTAACCCACAGGTCAGCTGAGAGGCAATAACTTCCTTTTGAGTTCCTGGAGAGTTTCCTTTAACTCTACTAATGAAAGGCAAAAAGGTATAAAAATATGCAAAASTTGCTCAAAAGAATAGACACCCTGGATTTCTTGGGAGGGGGATGAATCTTAGAGTGTAATAGTTTCTTAAGTCATCAATGTTCGTGTTTTTCTCTAGAGCTGATCAATATATTTGCTTTAATTTTACATAATAAGACACATGGACATGAGTCGCTTATGACATACTTTCTGAGAAATGCATTACTAGGCAAATTTGTCATTGTGCATCACAGGGTGTAGTAATACAAGCTAAGACAGCTATGACATCACTAAGCAATAGGACCTCTGTTGTATATGTGGTCTGAGACATCATCTGAGACATTGCTGACCATTGACATTTCGTGGCTCATAAATGTACTGCAAAATATCACTAATGGTTTGGTACCAAACATTCAAACCCTACTTGGAATACTTTATAGCATGTGGAGGCCACTGACGAAATGCTGAAGGCTTCACCAATTGTATTTTAAGACTTGGTTTCCACCTCAAAGAACCCACATACAGGTGGGATCCAGAGTCTTAGCATGCTCTATCTTTATAAGATAACATATGATAAATTTCTAAAGAGTAACTTTAGGGGGAAAATGGGATTAATGGTTCACAGCTTGGGATAATTTTGTCCACTTGAAATCATTTTGGTTTGTTAGATTTGGAGGGGGTGTCAATGGCATCTAATGAGCTGACTCCAGGGATACTGCTAAACTTCCTATGATGCTCAGGATGGTGCCCCACAACCAAGAGTTACTTGTCCCCAAAGTGTCAATAGTGCTGAATTTGGGCATCTCTGATCTATATGGTTAGGAGCGTAGAAACTAGAAACCACAGAAAGCTTAATGCTGGAGAAAATAATAACCAGGACTTGCATTACTCATGTATATATAGATATAGATATAGATGCAGCACTGAGCTGAGCAGGCACCTACTTCTGCCTTGGTGGCACATTCCCTGGTAATGCACTTGATTTAGTCAGCTTTTTCACCACTGTGACCAAAAGAACTGACAAGGACAATTAAAGGAAGAAAAGTTTATACTGGGGGCTCACAATTTCAGAGATTTCAGTCTATAGATAGTCAGCTCCATTCCTCAGGGCTTGAGGTGAGGCAGAACATCATGGTTCAATAATGTGGCAGAGGAAACAGGTCAGGACATGGCCACCAAGTAGCACAGGTTGATGGGGGGAGTTCTGTCCTCACCACGACAATATGAACCCCAAAGGCACACCCACCTACTACCTGCCTACAGTTACCACCCAGTTAATCCCTAGCAGAAGATTAAAGTTAAAGCTTTATTTACRCTGATTAGGTTAAAGCTTTCAAAATCCAATCATGTCACCTTTAAACTTTCTTGCATTTTCTCACGTATGAGCTTTTGGGAGATCCCTCATATCTAAAAACCATCATGGCACTATAGACAGAGCTGAAAACAGGCTGTATGAATTGCAGGTCTGGGGCCTTTGGATGTGTTTGTAAGCAATAGAAGGGAGGGGATGGAGAAAAGAAAGGAAAGGGGAAGAGGAAACAAACACCTAAACTACAATAGGAATTGAGAAGGGACAGCCAGCAGCGTAACAAACTAAAGAACTGTAGTCAACCTTGATATCCCACTAGGGTAGCCATAGCTTTGCTACTTTCTAAGAATGAGCAGTAATGCACTTACGTGATTAGAGATCTGCCCTTCTGGGTGCAGACTGAGAATTGTCTAGGTTATTTTTTTTTAATTTATGTAAAGTATATTTAAATTTTTATATGCCCAATTATTGGTTATTTAAATTACTTTCCAGTTTCATCAGTCTGTTGAATGTAGGATGCACATTTGTTTTTATTGAATGTAGGATGCACATTTGTTTTTACATATTTATATCCCTAAAGTTGACAAGTGCTTATAGTTTAATAGTGGTAATTCTTTTTTCTTCAGTTGGACATAAAATAATAGTGAATTTTCTAACCCTTGACTTCTGACATTGGATAAAACTTTGTATAAATAGTGCTATAATAAGCATCTCTAGTTATTGTCATATACATTCTTAATTATTTCTTTAGGATAAAGGCCTAGAAGTAGAACTGCTATGCTATAGGACATTCATATTTTGTGACTTTTCATGTATATTATCCACCTGTTTTTCAGAAAGATGGTAGTCAGTTATTCTCCTGCCAACAAGATAGCTTCCTTTTCCTACAATAGTTTCCAGACTGTAGAACTATAAACAAAAACAAATCTCAATTTTTAAGATTTTAATTTATCTGATGACTAATAGTCTTATATTCATTGGCCACTTGCATTTTTTTTTCTATGAATCGTGTGTCCATTGGCCCAATTTCTGGTGGAAGTGCCCCCCGCTTTCTTGTGAATTTGTTAGAAAAATTGGGAAATATTTTTTAAATATTAAGAAATCCTAAAAAAAAAAAAACTTCAAATAGTTTTTGCCAGTTGTCATTTTAGTCTGTGTAGGGTATTTTCTACAAATAAATTTTTGTGTTTCACTTTGTGGTTTTATGTTTGGAATGGTCTCTTCTACCTCAATATCATAGAATCACACTATTTTCTTTTAATTTTTTTATTTCACATTTTTTTACACTTAAGTTTTTAATATCCATCTTGAGCTCATYTCAAAGTAAACCAGGAGACTTGAGTTCATTTTCCCCTCCAAATAGGTATGATTTGTCTTCATTCTTCCTAAGACTAGCTGGTCAAAAATGAAGAACCATAGGAAGAGGAACTAGGAGCTGGGATGTCTTTTTTTTTTCTCTTTTTCTTTCTTTCTTTGCTTGTTTGTTTTTTTTTTTTTTTTTGTCTTTTTTGGTATCAGGGATTGAACTCAGGGGCACTCGACCAATGAGCCACATCCCCAGCCCTATTTTGTATTTTATTTAGAGACAAAGTCTCACTGAGTTTCTTAGTGCCTTGCTGTT